AGATTTGCAAAGTTTTCATATTGTTCAAGCAAATTCTTGTATGCTTCTTGTGAACTACCTAGCTCTTCTTTTAAAGTTTTGAGCTTCTTTTATTGACTAGTGTAAACTTTAGCATATTTAAGATTTTGTTGCACAATTGTATTGTAAGAAGGCAAATCATCATCACTATCACTCTCACTAGAGGATGAGCTTTTGTTACCTCGCGCCATAAGGCACACATGAGAAGAGCTTGATGATGAGTGCTTATGACCTCGCCTCTTGTGATGGTTTTCTTCTTCACTTGAAGAATCATCCCATGACCTTATTGTTGTGAGGGCTTTGTTTTTGCACGCCTTCTTCTTTGTCTTGGGTGTGGGCTTGTTTGGACAAACTTCCACAAAGTGCCCCATCTCACCGCATCCGTAGCATCCTCTCTTTCTTTGCTCATTTCTTTGATTGGTGAAAATGAGATCTTGAATTTGGATGGGCACACCCTTGACATTGAGCCTTTGGATCATCTTCTCCACCTTGTTGATTAATTTGATTGATTATTCATCAAGGTCGGAGGTGGAGGAGGAAGATTGATCATCATCACTTGATTCTTGTTCATCATCATTATCCTCATCTTCTTCTTCTTCACTTAAGGAGCTTGAGCTTGAGCTTGACTCAACTTTCTTGCCCTTCATCTTTTTCTTTTCGCTACAAGCGAGAGCTTTGCCTTTGCTTGATGAAGATGCTTCTCCTTGACCCATCTTACGTGACATTTCAAATGCCACTAGCTTGCCAATGACAATGCCCGGGGTCATGGTGCTCAAGTTCTCCATGTTGTGAAGGATGGTGATGATGCTTGCATATTTCTTTTGTGGTAGAACGGAGATGATCTTCCTCACGATGTCCGCATCATCTAGCTTTAATAATCCTATTGAATGGAGCTCATTGATAATTAGATTCAATCGAGAATACATATCACGAACAAGCTCATCATCATTCATAGCAAAGGAATCATAATTTTGCTTAGCTAGACAATGTTTTTGCTCACGGACATTACTTGTACCGTCATGGAGCTCTTGAAGTTTTAACCAAATTTCATGTGCCGTATTTAAGATGAACACTTGGTTAAACACATCCATGCTAAATGATTCAAACAAGCAATTCTTAGCTCTAGCATTAAAATGCATTTCTTTTCATCACTCTTTGTGGGTTTTTAAGGATTCTTGATGGGTTTCATCCGTCACGAGTGACTCTCCATACACCCAAATCAACGCCTCAAGGTGGCAAGCCATTCTAGCTTTATAGTATGGGAAGTTAGTGCCGTCAAATTGTGGAGGCCTAGCGGTATCCATCCCCACCACTCTACAATAGCGTCGGCTCAACGGCGGTTAAGCCAAAGGTCCAAATATGAGCCAACCGGCTCTGATACCACTTGTAGAACACGTGGACGCCTAAGAGGGGGGGGGGTGAATTAGGCAACTTAAAAATCTAACTCTAAGCTATGGCCTCTTTTTCTATCTCTAGCAAAACCTATGCAAAAGATAATCTATCTAGATGTGCAACTACGGTTTTGCTAGTGTGTTGCTATCTCTACCGCAAATGATAACAATATGATAAATGTAAATGCGGAAGCTTAAAGAGCAAGGTAGAGATATGCAAACTCCCGTCGACGACTCCGGTATTTTTACCGAGGTATCGAGAAGCGCGCAAGCTTCTCCCTAGTCCTCGTTGGAGCCCCTCGCAAGAAATCCCTCGCAAGGGCCAAGCTCCCGGTCGGGTAACTCCGTGGATAGCCTTGGGCCTTCCCCACGCGCAAGTGGGTCTCCAATGTGCCTTCCGGCAAGCCTCTCCCGGATGCTCTCCGCCGTCTTCACTATCAAGCTTTCGGTCGAAACGCCGCGGGACTTGTTTCCTTCGGTACACGGTGGCGGCCGCACCACAAACGCGGTTGGTGCGATCTCGCAAGACTTTAAGCCCCTCCGATGTACAACTCTTGTGCTCACAAGCACGGGGTGGCAGGAGATATGTAGACCTCACTAAACACTAGGCATACACTTAGAGCAAGCGCATAAGCGGTGGTCTAATCAACCTAAGCACTTCGCAAAGCACCTACGCTAATCACCTGATGAAACACTAAACACTATGCAAGTGGAGATCACTAGAATAGTGTATCTACACCTTTGGTATGTTTCCTCAGCTCCACTATTCTCAAATGGCCGGTTGGGGTTGTATTTATAAGCCCCACTGAGAAAGTAGCCGTTGGGGTCGAACTCTCATGGCTGAATCTTGGCATCGATCGGACGCTGAATCGCCCCTGACCGGACGCGTCCCGGTCGTCCGACCGTTGCGTTAGCCGCGAATCTGATCGGACGCCGCCCTGCGTTCGTCGCTTCGCCACCGGACGCAGCGTCGATCGCGATTCAGCAGCTACTGGAACCTCTTCAGATTGATCGGACGCTGCGTTCTGCGTCCGGTCGGTTGCCGCCAGCGTCCGGTCCTTGCGTCCGTCGCTTTGTCGCTGAACCACCGTCCAGCGTCCGGTCCAGCGTCGGCCGCCTCTGCGAAAGCTCGTTTTTTGCGGCGATTTGCGCACGGCTTGGTTCCTATCTTCTTGCTTAGACTTTGCTTGACATCTTGGGTCTTTTCTTGTGCTTCTAAGGTCTTGCCTGAGGTGTTGATCATCAGATCATCATGTCGTCTTCGTCCAAGTCACGTCTTGCACCCTATTGGACTACAAAACAAACACTTGCAAATTCATTAGTCCAATTTGGTTGTGTTGGTCATCAAACACCAAAATCCAAAGTAAATGGGTCAAGGGTCCATTTTCCTTACAAGTACCTCAGACATTGATCATTGAGGATCGGCCCCACAAGTCATTGACGTACCTACGGCCTGAGGCTGGTCAGTAGTCGCTATAGATGGTTGTTGCAGCAAGGACTCGGCAGGTCAGAGGAAAATTGTCGTACGTCCTTTTCGCTTAGCTTATAAGCCGTATTTTTTCAACCAACGAATAACATTTTTCTCTCACAATAAATCAGCCAACAGTACTTTCAACCATAACTTATCAGCCAAGCGAACAGGGTGACGTATTCTCTAATGTTATCCTTGATTAGTACCCCTCGTTGTAGGACTTTTTGAACGTTTCTAGATAATGGACGAGGCTGGGGGATAATGGAAACCGACCGGCGGCCGGTTCACCGTCACCCACGATGGCGTCGTCGTCCCATTCGAATTCGAGGCCACCAGCTAACAGTAATATCCGTCGAGTGTTGTCGTAAGTGGCTCAGGAGTCAGGATTTTGACCAAAAACGCGTGTACGGTTACAGCGCACACAGATCATCTCGCCAAGTTGCCACTTGAAAGAGAGAGCAATGAAGGCAAGTCCACTGGTTCACACGACTCCGGTCAAGGGCCAGTCGGTGTCCGTCACAGCTCTGCTCAGGCTCAGGCGTGCAGTGCAGTGCAGCCACTTGCCTGGCCCACTCCAAAAGAATTTTGTGGCTGCAGTGCACTCTCCAAGACGCCATGTCGCCATGCGTGACAGACTGACAGAGGCTTGAAAACCTGCGGCATTTTTAACTGCTCACTGCTCATCAAAAGAAGAATAATCCGGGCCATTTGATACACAAGTTGACACCCTAGGGCATCCATCAATCAATATCTTGCACCGAAACAAAAATGTCAGCCTCCTGAGTTCTGAGTGGACTTCTGCATAGGTCACATGGATTGAGGCCCTGTTTAGTTTTAAAAAATTTCACCCTAAAGTGTCACATCAAATCTTGCGGCACATGCATGGAGTATTAAATATAGACGAAAAAAAAATTAATTGTACAGTTAGGTGAGAAATCGCAAGACGAAACTTTCGAACCTAATTAGTCCATAATTAGACACTAATTGCCAAATACAAACGAAAATGCTACAGTAGCCAAACAAAAAAAATTTGGGAACTAAACGCGCCCTGAGGTCTTTTTCTGAAAAATACAGTGCACACTTGCGGGGGAAAAGAACAAGCGATTGATGGGTTCACATTTTGCGTAACCTAAGGCCTTGATACGTGGCTTGACTTAGGTGACAGAACCGACATTCCATGATATTATTTTACCAACTTCCAAACTTTTCTTTGGCCTATGCAGGACCATTTTGAAGCAGACATTGCGTTGAACAGACGAGGAGAGGAGCTGACAATTTTGGTGTCTTCAGAGCTCGGCATTTTATTTCCAGCGCCGACTAGATCCACAAGCCAAGAAGGAATGTTTGGCATGAACAAGCAGCATGATCGCTGGGCTGGCCAGCCCCCTCACATGAGTACTGTTCATCTGAACCAGCCAGCAGTACTTCTCTCTCACATAAACGAACCAGCAACGATACGAACCAGCCAACCGAACAGGCTGAAGATTAGCATTCAAAGACAGCTGTGATTCTGGTGGCCATAGCATCATGCCAATCTTGCTGCTGTTCTTTTTCTGGACCGAGGAAACTAATGCTGAAGTCGACAACATGAGCTGAAAGGCAATGACTTCTGCCTGCGAGGAACCGAAAGACCACTGAAGTTCAGAACTAGTGTATCAATAATGCAATCTGAATTCATACACTATCTTGAGGTTTCTCGACCAAGATACTATACACAAACATCCTCGGAAGGATGCGAGGGTAAGAACTCATCACAAACGCTGGTTGAAATGCACAAGAGAACCTACATGTAGCATCATATCCTAAGTATCCTGCATTAGCGATTTACAAAAAGAATAATGCTGAAACCACTTGAGGGGGCAGCATTTGCCCTACTTATGAATTAAACAAACACACATTCATTAAACCGTTGGAAACTGGCCATCTCTGCTGGAAGTGGTCGAGTAAACAGGCATCCATCCTGCTAGAAGCGGTCTGAGCAAATAAACTAGACACTAATGAGCATCTCTGGCGCAGATTCAGAGGCCGAAACACTTGTTATGGTGACTTCTTGTGGTGTAACCCGAATTATGCTTCTTTGAATCCAACTCGAGTGTTTTCCTTTTACCTTGTTTCTAACTCTACATATGTGCATCTGTATTGTCTTTAACTTTGGAATCTGAAACTGAGCATTCCACCTCATTAGCATCCCCACCTCCCATTTCAATATCAATGTCCTCATGGTTATGCCTCTGTGAAATCTTCAACAGATCACCACCAATATCAAGGTCATCTCCCACTTTTGCTCGAGGACCACCAACTTGTTCTTCTTCAGCCTCTCCAGCAAGGTTAGCTGGTGGAGCTCGCACTTCCTCTTGTACGTGCGCCCGGAACTTATGTTTAGAAGGTTCTATCTTGCCACAGACTACTTCTTGAAAGTTACTCAGGCACCCTTGATCATAGACATTATGCCTGCCATCTGACCTGTACCGAAAATTTTCGTATGTGGTCTGAAAAAACAAAGTGCCAATACAAATGTTAGGGCTGGTGTACTGTAAAGGAAACTGCTACAGGTAGCCAGCCACCTGGGCCCTTTGGACTGAGCCGATACTGTAGCAGTGGTGCCGTGGCCTTGCGAACTATAACAGTTAGATTAGATTGATGGTTTCTTGCTTGTCTTTGCTTGACACATCGCTCTTTTTATAGAGAGGTCTATTGACTCCCAAGGACGAGATCCAATCTACTACTAACAAATCATATCTTATCTCTAACTAACTCTAAACCTAAGGGAGATGCTGCTATATTTCGGGAGGCACTGTGGCGCTACTATAACAGAAGCAAGCACAATAAATATCCATATAGTCATGCAAGATAAACAGTTTAGTTTCTCATGTAATCACAACCTTGGATAAAAAACAATGCAATTTAGCACCAAAGCAGAAGCCTGTGCGGTTGCCTTAAACTCCCTATGATGCCACTACCTTGCAAGGACAAAACAGAGTGAGTTCTCAAATTATCTAAGAGATGTGCTTTTCTGCAAGAGAGTGAAACAGCCTTGTTCCAAATCAATGCACAACAGTAAAAGCATATTGGAAAAGATAAATAAGGAGGCCTTAAAAATTCAGTTGAGATAGGAATAGCCTTTCCCACAACTAAAAATATAACGGTTCCCAGAATTTGTTGTTACAAAGCAAACAAGTACTGTGCATAATCCAATTAGATGACAGGAACTCGCAATCATAGAAAAAAGAATTCAGAGTGTAGACAAACAGATAAACCACTAGGCAGAAACAAACGAAGATAGAATTAATATCAACAGACCAACCTGGTTTGTGCTGATGAGATACGTATGAAATCCTGTGAGCCCACCAACAAACCAGAGAGAGATAAAAGAGTATATCATTAGTGCTAGAGAAGCAGGGGAATGTTTCAATGCCTTCCAAACTGTAGGATAGTCTCCATCCATGAGAAACTTGATGTACAAGGCCGATATAGCAAACACATAAGTGCAGAGGAGACTTGAAGAGATAACAAATAGGAAAAAATAACGGTAATTGCGCTGCACAATGGACAAGTAGAACAAGTAGAAATCAGCGAGTAAAGAGGTAAAAGATGGGAGTGACTTAATCAATTTAGAATGAAGGAAATAATTTCAAGAAATGTTCATGGGAATCGCATTTCCTCAATATTCGATGCATAAGTTGTTCAAAATGAGAAGATTAACAAAATAAAACCTTATCATAAAAGATCTTCACATGGATGTGAGGAACTTTTCTCTTCATTCTAGTTTGGTGGAGTTACTATGTCAGATTGAACATGTAAATTATAAACTGGGCATATTTTATTTGAGAAATAATCATTTTCCCTTTTGCTTAAGACATGGCAAATTTGTTTTTACTGCAGTCAATATCTTATATAAATATGCATCCATGGAATGCAAAATTCATCATTTGATTCCAATACTATAGCTTACCTTTCCAATGCATTGTCCTACCCATGGGCAGTGATGATCAAAGCGTTCCACACAATTGTTGCAAATGGAACAGTGTGAACACCGAGGAGGGCGAAAAACCATACAAGTTTCACAATACTTTACTTTCACAGGCATCCCATTTACTATAACTTCTTTTACACGAGGAAACTGTAGCATTCCAGGTGTGTCAGTAAGAGACAAATTATCATAGTGAATATCCTCCTCAGGTGGATGTGAAGCACGAGGTACAATGCCAGGATCCCGAGCGGCAGCGGTGAAGAGTAACAGAAGCACCTACACCAAAAGTGAAGGCAATAACACACAAATTTAGGAGTCATTATTTTTTTTTGAAATCCTCACACAAAAATACCAGCAAGAAACAGCATCAGAATACTTACATAGATTGTGAACACTATTGCTATGACAAGAATTGCATATCCTGCGTCATATGCATGAAACTGATGACGGAGATGATGTGCGACAAACACACAAAACACAGCAACTGGGATAACAATGAGGGCAACAGAAACACCTAGAGATTTAACATCAGGTCCAAATATCAACCGCCCACCAAAGAAGAACCTCTGCAAACAAGACACATGAGTCGTTTTTTCTCTCGAACATGCAGAAGAACTGCGTGTCATTGTATTAATGGGTGGAAAACAAGACACACGAGTCAGTTAGAGGATACTGAATCAATATTATGAGACAGCATGAATGCCAAAAAATAACGATCTCAAAGCTTGAATATATGACAAAAGTATATATATCACATGGTATCTAAAAAACAAGCCAAGCTGATCATCTAGCAGAGAATGTGATACTGTGATAGTTGGTTTCATGCTGGCCAATGTTTTTTCCTTGAGCACATAAGAGAGTTAAGAGTGAAAATGTAAAATAGAAATTATATATGCACCAGAAATGGAAAGGAACGGCCTTGTAAAAACAACCCTAATGGGGATACCCAGCTAGCAGTGACAGTCTTTTTGCCCTGGCATCACAACATAGTCAGGCTTCTTCACCAGCCAGCTGCACCATTGAATACACAATTGTTACAGTTGTTCCATATGTTGGCCAGAGACACATAGGACTGCAACCTAGCCAAATCCAAGAAAGAATACATTTCTTGGTGCGATTGTGACAGATGTGTGGTACATAGCATATGAACAACAATGTGACATCAGTGTCACAGTGTGCAACATTCTGTAGTACTCAATTACTTAGTTATTATACTTGTCAATGTCACTTCCAATTCATCAAGCTTGTAACTGTTGTACTTAACTACTTATCGACTCAACCCATATATTGCATATGAGAAGATAGAGATCCAACACTCGTACAGTTATCATCATACAAATCTCAGTAGATGTGACAACACTGGCTGTATGACTGCTGAGATAATTAAAAGAAGAAAAAGAAACTGCCATGGCCAAGATGCTGTCCTGTGGAGGTTAGCTCAATTCCACTATTTGCAAACTTAGAAACTTGTTGGCCAACATTTTGTTTAGACCTGTGATGCATTTGAAAAGATGTGGCTGCAGCAGAAGGAAAACAAAAGGTTGTACTGAGCACTAAACGAAGTAAATACAGAAATTTCGAATGATTCTCACGTTATCCCCCTTCCAAGCTTGGTACACCCGCTTCTGTGGCTGCGCCATGTGCAATTGCAAGTTTGCAACCCAACAACCAGCTTCAAACCCCTTGAAGCAGAATGAGGGTTCAGACCTTACTCCGAAATTTTGAAACAGTATATATGCAGCCGCACGTGGAGACTGTCAGACTAGAGTACAAGTCGTATGTTATCAACTGAGATTGACCTTGCCCCCTGGATAAGAACGGGAAGAACCAAGATAAAACCAGTTTAGTGAAAGGTCTACGCAGTATAAAAATTAGCAACAAACCGAATGGATTATAGGGGAAAATTTACATGGATTTGATTTCTTATTTTACTGCCTTTTTTTTTTTGTGTCGGGAACAGACGAATTTAGGAAAATCCGTCCGAACAAGCTAGGGTTACTTACAAACAAAGAAGAATTCAAAAACAAGTACAGATGGGTCTCCTCCGCTGTGCCGTTGCCGTTCCACGCCAGTCCAATCCAGTAGAGGGGGAGGAGGAGAGCAACTCCTGTTGAAGTCCAACCAAAAGAAGGCCTTGGCGGGAGGAGGACTGACTTGCTGTCTTCCGTCGCCACTGGTGGCGGCGGCAATGATGGAAGCCCAGCGGATTGGGAGGAAGAAAAGAACAGCAAGACTGCGAATATTTTTAGGGAATCAGAGAAGAAAGAGGCGCATACGATGCAAAGAGAGATGGAAGAAGATACGGTACGAGGAGGCGACGAGAACTCGCTCGGTTCAGTGGATCAGAGTAAAGATGGCAATGTCCCCGATACCCGACGGGTATTTAATCCATTAGAGAACGGGATGAGATTCATATTTTTACCCACGAGCATCTAAATGGACATGAATCCATCCTCGACGGGTATAGCGGGTACGGGAACGTTCTCTATTTACCCGTCCCCATTACCCGTTGGGGAACCCGACTATTTAAGCTTGTCATGCGAATATTAAACCCAAAGAAGCTAAACATAGGTATTTTGGCCCAAATCTGAACAATCATATATATAGTTTATGTGGTTTATGAACCATAGTTTAATTTTTCCTCACCATCTTCGCCAGTAGCACAAGCACGTCGGCCTCACGAGCGCTCGTGCCCCTCGCTTCTCAGTTCGGTCTCTCTGCCACCTTTGCTCGTCCTCCTCGCTCTTTCTCCTCGGCATCTCCGAGACTCCGACACTTATACCCGGGTGAAGAAGAAACGTCTCCGATTGCAAAGCTACGACCCCAAGTGTCCTTGTTTATCGGGTATGCAGTACCCGTCGGGTATCTGTTATCCGACCGATGCCCGACGGGTATGGAGATGGGCAAGAATCTATACCCGAAACAGTTAACAGGGATGTGGACAGGATGAATTCTCCACAGCGGAAAGAGAGAGTTCCGGCGATATCCGACGGGTACATCTCCGTTGCCATCCATAGATCAGAGTTGGTGCCGTAATTTGGGAGCATGACAGCGTGGACATGTTACTCGCTCCGTCCACGAAAAGAATAGCCTCACGAAAAGTCAAATCAAAAGGATAATACATAGTACTCCAGTACGAGAGAGCAGAGCTTCCAATAGCGGTGAACCGGCGATCAATTTAGTCACGTATTGGATTTCTTATCTTGTCATGATATACTAGTTATTCATAAATCATGTGCTTGTGTCAGTCAACCCTGTCATCGATGCTGGAGGTTAAACATAGTGCAACGCGAGATAGGGATGAAGGATGGAAGTTGCAAGGGACCTTGTTGACATTTTCTACCGGATATTATACATTGCCGCCAAATGTCATTTGAGAGCATCACATGCCAATTATACTCAATAGTTTGGAAGATTCTATTGCCAGACATAAATTGCTGCCAAAATTACCATACCTCTTTGTAGCAATTTGTAAATGACTCGCATGCCACAATTATTTTGAAGCGGTGCTTTGGAAAGAATAGTGTAGCATTGTATGGCATTCTAGTATTCTACCATCATTCAGTGATTCAGATTCAGTCCCATTGTCTAACACATAAACTGCGCAGTTCGGAGACAAAAAAATGAAATGTAGAGAGCACTAATTCCAGAATGCATGTCACAAAGTGCTTGTTGTCCTCTCGCATACTTTTCCATCTACCGGAATTCACAACATTAGCAATCTGACCAACGATAGTATCTTGTTATATATATGCACAGAACACACCACAGCAAAACAAACAATTGGCAGATGACGACTATATATGATAGTGTACATTGGCACTGGCACCGAGGCCTAAGGAGACGGACACAACATATTTACAAGTTTAGTACAACACAGCCACTCACTGAAACACATGTAGGTGAGACAAGGTCTGCTATGAGGTGTATCCAAATGGAATTCTACAGGCAAGGAAATACTACCTGGACGGCTGGTGGTTCAACTCACAGTTTGACGTGTCCTGTTCCTTTTACCAACGAGATCTAGAATCAACACAACCTACAGACAGCAATGAATTTCTTGCACGGTTAGAATCAGATTCATCTAAATCAGCTCTTCACACACACACACACACACACAAAAAAAAGCATCATATTGACACGGCAAGGTCCTTCAGCTGAACCCATCCAAATGCACATCTATCTCGGATTTTCTGGATCTCTAGCAGTGCCAAGTTAATTGTTTGGCCTACTGCTACAAACTCTCTCTCGAAGGGGAGCCTTGCCTTCTGGTCCAGCTACATCCAAAGCAGTTAAGATCAAGTCAGCTATGGCATACGTTGGATTAGAAAGTAAAAGAAGAAAAGTACATGGTTAGGTCGATGAGAACCTTTTCAAGACACCGGGGTGCATCAAGTACATAGCAAAAGTATGACAGTTGCCTGTATAGATCTGCCTCCGTGTACTGTTAAACACAAAGGTTTAGTATTAGACACCAGTTGCCACTTGCCCAAATGGGCACATTGTAAGCTCAGGCAGAGTGTCAACAAACCTGTCTTACTAGGCGACCGTTGCAGCGTGGGTAGTTAGGGCAGATGGTTCCTCTCTCAGAATCCCCCATAACTCTAAGGTTTACGCTGTGAGTAGAGTATTTGCAACCCTCATCGTCACACTAGCAGAAACGAATAGCCAAAAGGTCAAGGGTAATCATAAACAGTCAAATATATTAAGGCTCAAACTGAAACACTTACCATCTGCAAACCTTTATAATATAGACTAATGAAATTATCAGCCTGTCTTTTCATCTACACATGGACAACATAAAAGTTAAGTTTTAATCAACTTAAATTCTGGGTCATGCTATATTAAATTAATATTCACCTGGTTGGCAAGCATTGGAGGAGAAATTTTGGACTCGTCAGCATTATCTGGGCATCTTGGGCACCGCATATGGCGCCAGAAATTAGCAGTAGCATCCTTTCCTTCATTTGGATCTGATACACTTGTAGCACTAGTAATCAGACTAGATACAGGAGGGCAATCGAAGGTACCAGAACAGCTTGGGCATGATAAACGCAGTGGCTCACAACCACGATATCTGTCATTAAAACACAAGAATATTTGAATAAAACTGAAAATACTGCAACATTAATGAAATTGATATGTTAGAGGTTCACCTCTCATCTTCATCATCGATTACAGATAACAGCATCGTAGATGTATCTTGATTGCTAGACTTAGTCACTCTTGATTGGAACTGATCCAGGTAATAAGAATCAGCAAACTCTATATTGAAAGAAATGATGCCAATCATTTAAGATATCAAACAGAAAATGCGCACCTTAGCCGAATCAAGTCCCAGACATTCAGCCAGGCGAGCTGGACTAGTGCCCTGAATGGAAGCACACAGACGAGAAACAACAGGATGAATCTGCAAAGGCAATTTAGAATCAGCAACACTGTATATACTGTAGCACATGAAAGACAACTGTATTTTTCCAAGAAGGGAAAATGTATTGCAATGGTGAAGAACCTGCTGTGACAAATAATAGTCGATGTCAATCATCCACTTGTCAGGGTCTCTTTTTAACTCCTCGGGATGTCTAGCTCTCTGAGCTATTCCCACAGAATGTGTATTATCTGAGTCCTATACAGAATGGGCAAACACAGTTTAAGATCAGATAAATCAAGCTTCAAACAAAGCTAAACTGGGATGTTTTTCAGGCAAAAAATTATATATATTCTCCTTTTTCCTGAAATTACACTGCAGGTAAACAAAAAGTTCTGACTACTCCCTCCGTTTATCCATATTCTTATCTTATGAAGAAATGTTTCAAAATGTTAGTTCACCAATAAAATCAAGATTGTGAGTGGTTGTAAAATGTGAATATCATTAGGGATATGTGTTGGTCTCTTTTATAACTTTGATGAGATTTAGTGCTTTCTGGGTCTATATACATGATGAGCTTGGAGCCTTGGAGGCTTGGACAGATTGTGAAACAGGAGTACCAATCAGTGTCATATGACAGGTTGACAATCCAAAAATTTGCAATGTGGATAAGCAATTGATGATTTAGTGAGCATGCAAAACATAAAAGACATCATTTAGTAATACCTGCGGACAGCAAATTATGTAAGGGACTGTGTCAGCAGCTGAGCAACCAGAGTAACCATTTTGCTTGAGTCTCAAAGCAACCTGAGGAACCAAGTTTACACATTTATTAGCTCATCACTTTTCTGGCTTGAAATCAGGACAAAACAAAACAAGGATATGCAACTCTTACCTGAACATGAGGCTGATTTTTAGCATCTGGATAATCTTCTGGCGCTTTTGTTAAGCTCTTTGTGATAACATATTTTTCGAGTTCTATTTGACCACTTCTCATTTGCTCTTGCACCTGAACATAGCCTCATTCAGTATATTAAAATATACGGTAATAGAAATATATAACAAATAATATGTTTTAGGCCAAAATTTCGTTGCAGAGCAACAGTATCTTGCTAACCAATGTTTCTTGAGTATTGATATTAATGTTAAGAAAAAGGTGGCAAGCTCCTAACCTGGACAAGAGAACTATGTATTGACTCAACAACATCATCACATGTCCTGTACAGGCAGTTTTCATAAAGGTCAGACTAGAAAAATGTCAAAAGCAAAATTACAATAGAAACTTAAATGCTTACCCTCCAGACAAAATTTGATTGAGACAAAAATCTCCAATGTCTTTTGACAGCAAACTCCAATCACGTCTGACCATATCGAGCCCCTTGCGTTCAATGTTCTGCATCAAACATCAAACATGTTAAAGCAACTCTACTACTTTCACAAGATGACGCATAGATTCATAATAAGCACAAACCTCTCGTAAGCTGCCATCCAGTGCCACTTTAATAGCAGCATATTTTTTCTTTTTAAGAAGTAACATTCTCTTGTATATGCCATCAAGATCAATCTCCAGACAACAGTACTTTTTGTTCACCTGCGTTGAAGCATTCTTGGTAAGATCATCTTTCTTCAGTTTACACATCTTATAAATGAAGAAGTGTACTTTTGGTCATTGAACGCTTTGCTCTATATTAGACAAAGAGATCAACCAAAAGGATCCAATGGACTCCAAGTACATGAAAGATCTCAAAGGTGACCCAACCTCCACCACATATAGATTGTATTTAGGCATTGCATGACTACTGCTTTACTTTTCAATCGGTTGACTAGGTAATAGGTTTCAAGTAAGACGGACCCTCAAACACCATGCAATCAACATAAAATAAATCGCAAAACAATATTTAAATAAATAATAGTCATGACTAAGAGCAATAAAAACACTAGCAATAGGAACAAGATCCAAATAACGCTAAATAGAGCACCAATAGATAGATTGTATTTTTAGGATAATTTGGGTACCAGTTTCAAATTTTTTGTTTAAAGTGAATTAGTTATGATTTTTAGATCTAACCATATTTCATAATAATACATATACAGTCAAAACCACCTTTGAAACCAGTCAAGGGCCAAGGTCATCCAGTTTTGATAGTTAGATGGCCAAAATCAAGAGATAGTTTGTGTCAAGTGCCTCGGCACCCAACGACGCAGGACCGCGACTACGGAGCTCGTAGTCGCGCTCCAGGCTTCACCGCGAGGTTTTACCCCTCTGCTGGTGGCTTGATGAGAATAGAAGAGAATAGATTAGATGGTAAATGACTTGCTTAAATGATACAGTTCTCGGTACAGAGGATATAAAGGCCCAACCGGCCACCCAACTTGAGCTAATTGCTCCTACATCTAAGGAACTCTAATTAACAGTTGCCTAAAATATCTCTAGCCACTATCCTGATTTCTAGCGGCAGCCGGCATGGAGGCCGCGTCCCTGGGCGCATCAGTGGCCCTGCGGATATCACGGGCGCGCCTTCTCCTCTCATATGCTCGGCCCCACATGACATCTCTCCCCCCCTCGAGTACCAGCTCGTCCTCGAGCTGGAACGCCGGGTATTTGGCGACGAAGGAGTCGACATCCTCCCATGTTGCCGAGGCCACCGGTTCTCCTTTCCACCGGATGAGGACCTGGCGGACGCCACGAGCCAGACGAGTGCGCAGGGCGCGTTCTGGTTCAGGGACAGCAGCACCATGATGGATGGCAGGCAAAGCTGGTGGAGCTGCAGGTGGAACGCCCACGAACTGCTTGAGGAGGCCGACATGGAAAACGTCGTGCAGACGGGTGCGCGGGGGGAGCTCCAAGCGCACGGCGACGTCGTTGATCAGCTCGACGATGCGGTACGGCCCGAAGAAGCGGGGCTTGAGCTTGCCTGAAGTTGCCTGAGGCAGTGAAGCAGCCGCACGGTGGCGAAGGCGTAGCAGTACCCAGTCGCCGACCTTGTAGGACACCGGCCGGTGGAGCTTGTCGTAGTGGCGTTTCTGCACGGCCTGAGCTTGCTCCAGCCGGTAGCGTACATCAGCGATGAACTCATCGCGGTCTTCCATGTTCCTTGCGACGGCAGCCACCCGAGTATCTCCTGGCTCGTAGGAACGCAGGGTCGGCGGGTCACGACCATATACCACGCGAAAAGGAGTGTCGCGTAGCGATGTCTGGTAGGCGGTGTTGTAGACGTACTCCGCCCAAGGCAGCCAACGGAGCCACTGGCGAGGACGATCCCCCGTGAAGCAGCGCAGGTACATGATAATGACGCGGTTGGCGGCCTCCGTCTGGCCATCAGACTGCGGGTGGAACGCAGTTGTCATGTGCAGCTTGGTACCCATGAGGCGCATGAGCTCACGCCAGAACGCGGAAGTGAACACCGGGTCGCGGTCCGACACCATGGACTGCGGCATGCCGTGGAGGCGGACGATCTCGGCGAAGAATGCCTGGGCCACGGACTCGGCGGTGTATGGATGCGCCAATGGAATGAAGTGACAGTATTTGCTGAAACGGTCCACCACAGTTAAAATAACTGACTTACCCCCCACCCGGGGCAGAGCTTCCACGAAGTCGAGTCCGACGTCCGCCCACACCGACTGCGGCACCGGCAGGGGCATCAATAGTCCGGCCGGGTGCAGGTGCTCGGATTTGTAGCGCTGGCAGGTGGGGCATGCACGCACAAAGTCTTGAACCAGCCGGCGCATATTGGGGAAATGGAAATCGCGGCGCAGCCTGTGGACGGTGCGCTGGACCCCTTCATGGCCGTCGTCATGGACAGCGGACAGCACCTCGTGCAGGAGGGGGGACGCCGGCGGGATGTATAGCCGACCATCAAATGCCACCATGCCATCCACCAGGGACCATGGCACCGTTCGGGCACCATTCTGGAGGTCGTCCTTGAGTGCCACAAGCGCTGGATCAGTGCTGTGCGCCTGGCGCAGCCGCGCGAGGAGGTCGAAGCACGGCGCTGAGAGAACCAACAGAGCACCTTCGGCGGTGTCCGTGTCGCGGCGAGATAGGGCGTCCGCCACCGTGTTCGAGGCGCCGGGCTTGTAGTCCACGGCGAAGTCAAACCCCAGCAACTTGCCCACCCAGTGGTGCTGTGGTATGGTGGCAAGGCGCTGATCGAGTAGGTACTTCAGGCTGTAGTGGTCCGTCTTTACCAAGAAACGGCGTCCCCACAGATATGGGCGCCAGTGACGGATGGCGTGGACGAGGCCGATGAGTTCCCGCTCGTAGGCAGCGAGAGAGCGGTGGCGAAGAGCGACCGGCCTGCTGAAATAGGCGACCGGATGCTGCTCCTGGATCAGCACCGCACCGAACCCGTGCGTGGACGCGTCGCACTCGACAATGAACTGCTTAGAGAAGTCGGGCAACGCCAAGACCGGGGCAGACGTGACGGCGAGCTTGAGGGCCTGGAACGCAGCAGTCGCGTCTTCGGTCCATGTGAAACCCTCTTTCTTCAGGAGCGCCGTAAGGGTTGCCGCGATGGAGCCGTAGCCGTGGACGAACTTGCGGTAGTAGCCTGCCAGCCCGAGGAAACCACGCACCGCTCGAGCCGAACGGGGCTGAGGCCAGTCATGGATCGCCTGGACCTTCGTCGGATCCATGGCCACACCGGCCGCAGATATGATATGGCCGAGGTAGGCGACGGAATCGACGCCGAAAGCGCACTTGGAGCGCTTGACGAAGAGGCAGTGTTGGCGCAGCATGTTGAGCACCGCACGGAGGTGCCGGAGATGATCCGCCCACGATGCGCTGTAGATGAGAATGTCATCAAAAAACACAAGAACAAACCGGCGAAGGAACGGCCGCAGCACATCGTTCATGAGTGCTTGGAATGTCGCCGGGGCGTTGCACAACCCAAATGGCATCACCAGGAACTCGTACAGGCCGTCATGGGTACGGAACGCCGTCTTGTGCACGTCGGCCGGCCGCATCCGCACCTGGTGGTAGCCTGAACGGAGGTCTAGCTTGGTGAAGTACTTGGCGCCGTGCAGCTCGTCCAGAAGCTCGTCGACGACAGGGATGGGAAAAGCGTCCTTGACGGTGATGGCGTTCAAGGCGCGATAGTCCACGCAGAAACGCCAGGACCCATCGACTTTCTTGACGAGGAGGACCGGAGACGAGAACGCCGACGAGCTGCGGCGGATGAGTCCCTGGTCCAGCATGGCGGCGCACTGGCGTTCCAACTCATCTTTGTGCGACACCGGGTACCTGTAGGGGCGGACAGCCACCGGATGGGCGCCCGGGGTAAGCGTGATGCTGTGGTCGCGGCCCCGTGGAGGAGGGAGACCGTGCGGCTCGACGAAGACGTCGGAGAAAGCGCCTAGCAGCTCGTCGAGGAGGGTGGAGCTTGCTGCTGTGGCGCAGAGGCCGGGTGCATACGGGGCAGCTGTCCCTGACCAGCACACCCGCTGTCCCGCCCGCTGGAAGGACACCGTGCGGCCTGCAAAATCCCAGAGGAGGGGCCCCAAGGTGGCAAGCCACTGCGTGCCCAAGACAATGTCGTAGCCGGCGAGGGGCATGACGAAAAGGTCGGCGACGAAGGCGTCCCCAGCGACGTGGAACGAGGCATGCCGAATGACACCCAGGCATGCCACGCGCTCGCCATTCGCCACCGTTGCGGACAGCCGAGGCCGCTGCTGGATCGGCAGACCTGAACGCCGCGCCGCTTCCTCGGAGACGAAGTTGTGCGTCGATCCCGTGTCCAACAACGCGGTGAGAGTCGAGGCGCCCAAGGTGACCGTGATCTGCATCGTGTCGGTGAAGGCCACGCCGGCGATCGCATGGAGAGAGAAGACCGGGCTTTCATCGGCTGTGGGCTCCTCAGATGACTCCGGAACATGGGAATCATCCTCCTCGATTATGCCGTCGACGAAGAACAGCCACTTGCAGACGCGGTTATGGCTTCGGGCGAATTTCTCGTCACAGTTGTAGCAGAGGCCGAGACGACGGCGTTCCTCTGCTCGACTGCGTCAAGCGCTTTGATCGGCCGGCCGGCCCCTCGATTGTAACGGTGCAAGCGTGGCGTGGACCGGCGGCGGCGAGGAGGAGGGCCAGCGCGGTGGAGGCGCCGGCGTGAGAGCCCTTGGTCGTTGCTAGCAAATTTGGGACGACGTCTCTGCTCCCGCAACTCCAACTTGCGTGCTAGGCTCATCGCTCCGGCGAGGGACTGCGGGTTGTGAACCTCGACGTCGAGGCTGAGCGGCGGCAGAAGTCCGCCGGTGAAGAGTTGGACGCGCTGTTCCTCGTCGAGGGGGCAAAGACGGGCGAGAGCGCTGGAACGATCCTGGTACTCATGACGGCGGTGCCGTGCGCTGCACGAGGCCAATTCGTGGAGAGGGTTGGGCGCAGGCGGCCCGAAGCGAAGATGGAGGAGATCCTTGAAGCGACGCCACGAGGGAGTGCCCTCATCCTCCTGGACCTGGATGTACCACATCTGGGCGCCTCCTCCAGGTTGTAGGAGGCCATCCAGACCTTCTCTTCCTCCATGATCCGCTGTTGATGAAAGTAAGACTCGCACCGGTTGATGAAGATCAGCGGATCGGACTTCCCGTCATACCGTGGAAAATCCATCTTCTGGAAACGCGGCGGTCGATCTCGATGGTGTACTTGATCCCGTTCTTGGAGAGAGAAAGATGACTGGGGCGGTCCTCGCTTCAGCGCTTGATCGCGTGGGTGTTGGCCTCAACCGAGGTTTGAGGGTTTTTTCAGTGTTGCGGCCGAGGGCATCAAGGGTGGCTTGGAGGGCGGCGTTGGGTTGCTCTCCCATGTCGGCGGCTAGTGGATGTGCTGGAGATGTGGTGGCAGTGGGGCGCGGAGGGGAGGATTGGTTGGAGTGCGAGCGGATCGGCGGCGAGACGGAGGAAAGTCTGGATCTGGATACCAGGTTGTCAAGTGCCTCGGCACCCAACGACGCAGGACCGTGACTACGGAGCTCGTAGTCGCGCTCCAGGCTTCACCGCGAGGTTTTACCCCTCTGCTGGTAGCTTGATGAGAATAGAAGAGAATAGATTAGATGGTAAATGACTTGCTTAAATGATACAGTTCTCGGTACAGAGGATATAAAGGCCCAACCGGCCACCCAACTTGAGCTAATTGCTCCTACATCTAAGGAACTCTAATTAACAGTTGCCTAAAATATCTCTAGCCACTATCCTGATTTCCAGCGGCAGCCGGCATGGAGGCCGCGTCCCTGGGCGCATCAGTGGCCCTGCGGATATCACGGGCGCGCCTTCTCCTCTCATATGCTCGGCCCCACATGACAGTTTGACGGACAAAAACAAACTTCTTCAGATGGAAAGTGGAGCAGACAGTCTGAAGAGGATGGCCTTGTATTTCTATGGGCAGGTGAAGGAGCCTGAAAGGGGTGGGCAGCAGCTGATGATTCCGGGAGATGGCAGTAAGATGTAATTTAAGCAAGATCCAGCCTGTGTGCTGTGGTATAGGCCAAGGGCCATGTATCAGAGCCTTAAGGTTTTGTGGCTTGCCTCTTCTGGGGAAACTTCTAGCTTTTTTTGTGGGGTAAGGATAGCTCATATTGTCTGATCCCTAGGTGATCAGAAATATGAGTGTTTGGCAGGTGGCTGTTTCCTTTAGATACGAACTTGAACTATGACTGTAATTTTGTTGCCTTGGTAATGAAATTCAGGTTTACCGTTGTGGGAAAAAAAACTCTTCCTATATTAAACGCTACTCTTTCTGAAGCATTAAAATGAACACCTGCACCTTGCACATTAAGATGTCACATCCTGAGTCTTACCTCCTGAATAACCTTTCCTGCAATTGCTTTTGCCCTGGAGATGTCATCAAGCCCAGTATGTATCATGATGGAATCTGTATCACCATAGATAACCTGTCCAGTACAAGGAAAATAAATATCAATACAAGCAGTTAATTAATAAAAAAAATAAGCTGTTGAATCTTCAATGGACTGGATTTTTAGGAGGCATCTCCACCTCAAGTTTAATCTCCAGTACAATGAAGTTGAGATGTATTAAATTCTAATCTCTAGCATCTACCAAGTTGTTATGTCCCTTTGAAGCAATTTCAATTATTCTGAATGCTTTATTACTACAGAGAAATCCAGACATAGAAATTCTACATACCTCCAAATTTAAATTATTCTGAACCAGATCTACAGTGTTTTGCAATATCTCTCTACCCTGAAAGAGGCATCATATTAACCACAACAACATATTACAGGTTTGCTAATAAATTCTGTGAGTAAAACTTGTTCTCACTTGGAGTGTAATAAGCTCAGCAAGTGGCTTTGCATAAAACCTGGAATTGGAAAAGCCCAAGCAACCATACATGCTGGAGCACAAGCATTAAAGACTGAGTCAGAAACTCATTAATCATACTAGTGGAATGCAAGGAGACATACTTATGTTTGTTATAGAAATTCTTACCTATTTGCAGTGAGTTTCAATGCTTGTTGTTGAATATCAAACTGCTGCCTTTTAAGACCAGAAGCAGTCTTCAACCATGATTTAACCATCCTTCTCCTCTCCACCAAACTCCTCAGCAACTGATTTGTAAGCCATGATTGCAAACACATGAGAAAAATACATGTCCATACAAAATCTTGATCACCGAAAACTATTGACAGCTCTAAATCTCAATGGCACATCCAAAGGCAATTACCTCAGGTAAAACACCAGTAGCTTTTGATGCTGGCAAATTAGGTACACTGCCATCAGAAGAACGCTCAACGGTGGTAAAGCAGATGTTGTATTCCTGTGGAGAAATAATAATAAAGGCACTATTGAATATAGATCGATACGTCTATTATTTGTTTATCTTAAACTTTAAAGAGAGAAGGGCAGGCCTGGTGCAGTGGTGAGAGCTGTCTCACTGAGTCACCAGGTCGTGGGTTCGAAGCAGCCTCTCCGCGGATTTTGCGGGGAGAAGGCTTGCCTCAGTTTTTCCCTTCCCCAGACCCCACTCATGTGGGAGCCTCCGGCACTGGGTCTGCCCCTTAAACTTTAAAGAGAGCAAGCAATAGAAGCTGTGAGTACTGATCATTTACCTGAATTATTGAAGGATAAAGGCTGTTGAAGTCGAGAAGCAGAACATACTTGTCATATAGACCCTTCTTAGGCTCCAAAACTAATCCACCAGCATATGAAGGTCCTTTTCTGGCTTTACCGTGATCACCATTATGCACTTCATCATCAACGGAAGGATCAGCAGCACCATCATCAGCATTTGCATCCTCAGTATCAGCATTCATTTTTCTTTTTGTGGAGTTCAGCTCTTTGTTGCGTGCAAATTTATCCGGTACAATAAATTTTCTTGCATGAAATGAATGCAGTAGTAGATATTCTACCCTCTGAGCCCTAGCACCCTACAGGAATTTCATTTGAGATATGACGTCAAGAATGCACGGCATCATAGTTAGCTACACAAAAATGCATGATAATAATGAATATTACCTGAAGTGTTTTCCCCCACAGGTTACCACTAATGTTGGTCAATTGCCGTGTCAGTGGGAGAACACTCAAGTGAAACATGAGCTCCAAAGAAAGCCATGCATCTGTCTCACCATATTCAACCTAGTTGAGTGTCACAATTTTGCAATTAGTTTCATAACTTTTGAGAAAAATAGAAGACATTCTGTTAAGAGAAAAGCAGCACAATGTTTTGTTTGAAGAAATTACCAGTTTGAGCAGTTCACTCGAAGACTGGAACATCAGAGGTATATCATGTGGAGAAACCTCTCTCCTGACCTTTTTTAATTGTGTTTCTGCAAGTTGTGTCAAGGAATAACTCACCTGCATGGAACAGAATTAACTGCTGAATTTGGTAACTGAAATTATATTTAAAAATTGTATGGTTAGTTGCCTTCCATTATCAAAAAAACAAACGCACTGCAGGTTACCTCCTTCAGAAGGTCACGAGAGCATAAATAGGTGTCACAGAGAAGACGGCCAGCAATACAGGACATAATTCCTGGACTAGCTCCAGAACCATAGAGTGTGCTTCCTTTGGTAAGCCTGGGCATTGATGATCGCCTGAGACGACCAATCTTGGACCACATGCTGCTTGGCACTTTGCATGTCTAGCAGAATCATTAAATAAGAAAATGATAGTCAGAAATATATAATGCAAGTTCCCTTGAAACTACCTGGAATAAACCCTTAATAATTTATAAACAAAACGCATACAAATTTATGAACTCAAGAAGAGTAGTGTGCAACAGGTTGAATATAGGAAGCAACAGAGCACATAATGATTAAAAAGACCTGAGCACGGTGTAGAAGCACATCCAAATCGAATCCCGAAATATTGTGTCCCACAAGTACATCGCAGTCAAGTTTGCTAAGCTCAATCATCAAGCGATTTAATAATGCGCGTTCACTGGAAAAGGGAGTAAACCAATTAATCAATGCATTCAACAATGGAACTCATAAAATAAGTGGGTACTACTATGATAAAAAAAATAGTTGACATTTGACTTTGCGCAGTCTTGAATGTGTATCTTTGACCATTAATTTTATCTAGAATATATTCTTAAAATCCTTCAAATTTAAGAGATTCTGTAAAAACTTTGAATACAAATCTTCACATACAACTTGTTTTCAAACTAAATAATATAATAGTTATTGTTATTTTAGTTTCTAAGATTTGACCAAATCTGGTCCTAAACGACAACTTTTTTGTGGCCAGAGTAATAATATATATATACAAGAAAAGGCAGAACCCACCTGCTTTCTAGTGCCAGCACGTTGCTACCAGCCTGCTCGTTCCTATCAGAAGCTCCCTTAGCAAGGCCTATAGGAAATATGCTACCTTCAAGTTTGCGCATAACAGTAAAATGGCTGAGTGTTCCCTGTTTCTGCCAATCTTCTGGACACATTGGACTATCAATCTGAAAATTGGCCCAAAAAGGAAAGGTTTAGTTTGAAGAAACATGAGGGTTTCCTTCTTGTGTGAACCTTTGAGAAATGTAAAAGTGTTGAAATGGAACATGGAAGTGTGCCAGTTTGTCTCAAAACAATTGTTTCAAATAGATATGAACCATTTCTGCCACCTCATTGCCAAAGTACCTAAACTAGTAAACCAAATGCTAGAAAATATATTTCAACAACAAATAAACAGCATACCTTCACCCGATGACAGCATATGAGAGATGCTGACACAATCTCATGCACATTGTGTTTCTCATTTATGATAGTTTTGAGATTAACTGCTGCAACTACAACAGTAGGAACTTCTAGATTTGTACTTGTCGTCAAAACAGATATATCCTTTGGGCAATCAACTGTAACTTCAAATTTACACCAGCTGACCTGTCGTAGAGTCAAAAGGCACCGCCATCAATATAGCATGGCAAAAGAATCAGGAAGGAGCTATTCAAATACTAACTAGCTTGATATGAAACACCACCAACAGTAACAGGACAGACTGAAGTCAAGGATATACCCGCTGAGTGGATGACCGTGTCACAAATTTGGAAACCGACAACCATGAAGGCCCCTTGACCTTCCTCTTGATAAGAAATAATTCAAGAGCACTGGAAAGGTAAAAAGATCAGAATCCATCAGGAAGAAAATGGGCATAAAAACATCTAGACTATATTGTATAGCATATGCCATATAATGCAAGGTGTATGCATTGTACCTATTGCTTGTCCCAAGCAGTGCATGAAAATGTTCACCCCTGAGGTCTGCTGGTAGAGCAGGATCCTAAGAAAATATGTATCACATAAGTAATACAATTGCAAATTGGAAAGATAGTGAGAGATAGATGCAGTTTTCAGTTTACACTGAAAGAAACCAATCAGAAAGAACACAGTTTAGTCCTGAACCCATGAGCTTCGTTACTACATGGGGCATTTCCTTAGGAATTAAATCACGAATATTCCAAGATCAATCCTACCCTTCAGCAGCTCCCAACCCAACTTGTAAGACTTGAGTATACCATTTAACCAAAATTAGCACAGAAACCATTTTCATTTAAAATGATTATGGTATTCAAACCAAGAGATCATGACATGAAAAATGAATATTCAAAAGCCAATGGTTGAAAATAAGCCTGATTAGTAGGTTGCTTTTTCTCTGCTACAAGCCTACAAACATCCAGAATGTATTCACAGTTCAAGTTAGTTGATGAGTATAGCCGACAAATATCGAATCAGCATACAACTCTAGAATTCCCAGACTAGCAGCCACACTTAAGAAATGACTCATAATATCTTGTAAGACTGTAGGTTTTTTATTTTTAATTTCCAAGGTTCCTTCTGTAAGCATACAAGAATAAATATAAAAATGACTTGGATCGAATTCAATACAAAATATTGATTTTTATACTTCAGAAACTTCTAGGATAGAAATATCCGGTGTTTTTTATGCTATATAACATATTAAATCATTTGTGCCATTAGTTCACGATTCAACATAGCATCATTTCCCAAATAAGGGACTGATAAACCAGCTATGCTAGATACTAGCCACACTTTTGTTTCTCAAATGTTGTCATTGCATTTCACTCCATGGCAGCCAAATATGCAACCACAATAACATTTAGACAAACAAAAGTACCTAGACCCCTTGAAGGCCATTATAAACTAGGAAAGTAAAATAGCAATTAAAGATGTATTGACAAGGCACATACCTTGTAAGGATAATTAATTTTCAGGACATACTGCTCTCCATTTGGTAGATCAGTCCTCTCAAATGCATAGTTCCTCTAAGGCATGACAAATATAACCATTTAGCCCAGTAGAGGGGAATGGGGGAGCATGTTTGTATCTGTGTGCATGTGCAACTACTAACCTTGACTGGAGTCATTACGAAATTTGACACATTGAGGTCTGACAATTTGTCAGCTATTTCACTCTTTAATCCTGACGCCAACTCCTGGTAATATAGGATGTGTTATGCATATTTCACAGTAGTGCTATGTGCTAAGAATAAAAACAAAATCATTCTCACATGTAGAGTTGCTCGAAGTGATGGCAAAAGATCAGCACTTGTGGGGTTTTTTTCTATCCCTGATATGGAGTCCCTTGGAAACACTGAATGGTTTGGAATAGCATATATGCATCTTTGAATATTTTTTACAATGACGCAGCAACTATGGAACCGCTTGCCAACTTCAACCTAGAACAGGAAAGCAGCTTGTCAGAAAAAAGAATATACTAGTATCTAATGATGAAAGCATATGCCTCAGAGACACAATTTACAAAGATCCATCGCCAATGAATTAGGCATCACCCTCCCGCCTAGGAGTTACACACCAAACCACTGACTGCCTAGTACTTAATGAAACATCTTTCAAAGACTACAGCACAGGAAGTTTTTATTTCCATTTTGAATCCTTGGGAAAAAGGACACAAAATTTATGAGACATGTATGGTGTACGAATTATCCTACAAAAGCAGTGCTATGAATTGGCCCCGGGCTTTACAGTGTCCAATAATCAATTAAAGAAAAGTTGCTTGTCAGACATCAGAAAGTAAACTGTATTCTTAGGATAATTTACCAGAATTGTACTTGAAACTTCAGTGAAGTGCTATTTACCTTCCCAAACAAATACACTGTGCCTGAATTAGCACCAAATGGTTCCTCATATGCATCCAGTATGTAGAATGGCAGTGCTCCATCTTTCAGCTCGAACTCTGAACTTTCATCCACATTGGTGTTACCATCAACAGCCACCCCTTCTTCACCTACTGCATTCTGCCCGTTCCCACATATCTTCATCCATCCTGCTGTTGCACTCATCACATCATTATTTCTGCTCTCCTCCGCCTTAATCTTTGCATTGAGGCGGTGTGTCTTTTCTACCTTTACTTCCCCATCAGCCTCCTGCTTTGGTTCCTCCAAACTCTTATTATCAACCACCAATTCAGCACTAGAACCAGGAATTTCTTTCAGATTATCAACCACCAATTCAGCACTAGAACCAGGAATTTCCTCCAAATTGGTTTCCATCTCAGTATCGTTCTTCAATTCCACCGCCATATCATTTCCATTGTCCGATCTGACCATTTCAGTATCGACAGTTACCTTTTGAGGCTTGACGTAGGAAACTGTTGGAGGAGGAGGCTGCGGCGCACAAACCCTACCAACCCGCCGCCGCCTCTCCTCACGGTCGTTCTCGTCGGGCGCAAACTCGGCGATGATGTCGTCCACGATGCTGTCGGCGGCCAGTGCCAAGCCCTTGGCACGGTCGCTGCCGGTCCTCTTAAACACCGAGGATGTGAACATGGAGGAGATCTGCTGGCCCGTCTTTGCGGCAGCGGCGGAGAGAGACGCCGCCGCCTTGGCGGACTGCTGCGGCTGGCGCTTCGCCTGGGGAGGGCGCGTCTGCTTCCGCTTTCTGGGGGCGCCGTCCTCGCCGTCAGATCCCTCATCGGAGGAGGAAGGGAGGGCGCGGTGGCTCCAGTCCTCCTCGCGGCCGTCATCGACGTAACCGAGCCCGTCGTCGTCGATGATGAACTCGCCGGCTTCCTTCTTGCGGCGAGCGACGAGCACGTTGTACTCCTCCTCCGGGACGGTGTCGTAGATCGGGGCGTCAACCTTCACCTGGATGACGTCGGAGGCGCGGATTTCACCTTTGCGGACGGAGCGGAGTTGCTGGAGCACAGCGGCGCGCCCCAACGCCTCCGTGCCCCGGGTGCGCGTGCGCGTGCGGCGGCCGGAGCCGGCGGCATCGGCGGGTGAGTCTTCCATGCGACTCTCTCTCTCTCTCTCTCTTCTCTCTCTGTGACACAGGCGCGCGCACAAATTAGGTGTTGGGGTGCTGAGATCTATATTGCAAATGCCAGCGGGGAGTTTTGGCGGGAAGGTGTTCGAGCATTTGGCGCGCAGAATTAGAGGTGCGCGTCAAGCTCTAGGGTTTTTCCATGGATCGGGTGGAAGATGTCGATCCGAAGTGGAGTACAAGCATTTGCGTGGGCTTTCATATGGATGCGACGGAATGGGCGGTTTCCCCCTTCCCATTGGCCCACATATCAGGCCCGCCTTTCCGCCGCCTTCCACCATCTTTTGAGGGGAATTCCCTTTTGAGGGGTCACAGGCCCATCCGCTTCTTCTTTTGTGTGAATACAGGGTAGCATTCGCATCTTAGATCAGCACGATGAATAATTGCTTTTAATAAGTCGTGATTAAAAGTTGACTAATTTATTATAAGAGAAAAATAATATTTATTAACTGAAAAAATAATACAACTTAGAAATTAAACGAACAGGACAGAGGTCATCATCCAGATTGCACCCTCTTGTCCCCCTCCCCGTAACGCCTCCCCATTGTACTTTTCCCCACGGACCCTAGCATTCGATCGATGAATTTTAAGAGCTACCGCTTTCGCTGATGGTCCTCTGACATTTTTTTAAGCATATGGAACATGTTAGACTGAACGGCATCTGACGTTTACATCCACCCACCCACACACTCACACACCTTATTATATATACGCTGAAAAAGCAAAGATGTTATCTTATTTGGTGTCAAAATAAACAATCCCTGGACGGCAAAAGTTGTGCCCAGGCCAGCCCAGCTGGATTGTACGTGATAAGTATCTGTACACCCCTGTTGACATTTTCATGTACGCGTGCCGTATATACGACTTTGTTTGTTCCCTCCTCACAAAAGTTGTCCCTTCTGTATGTAGTATATACGATTACGACGATGTGCCAGCTTGCATTGCAATTTGCAGCTATGACGGTCAAACCAATGTGCACAGGGACGATTATACGAGTTAGTATAAAAGTTGGCATTGCAGGTACAAAGAACAATCACAAATTGAGGTTGTAGAGAAGCTTGTCCACATGGAGCAGGATGCATCGCGTCCTCGCTCTCGCTCGTCACTACCCCTACTGCTACTTCTCATCAATGCGTGCGTCCTCCTCTACGGTCCGGTGGCCGCGCGAGCCGAGCGGACGGGGTACATTATCCACATGGACATGTCCGCCATGCCGCGGCACCATTACGACCACCGCGACTGGTACGCCGCCACCGTCGCGTCTGCGACGGACGCGTCAGCGGACGTCCGAACCAAGCCGCAGCTCCTATACACCTAGGCTTGTTTGGCAGAATGTGAATCTGAATCTGGGATTCACCGTGGATCAGCTCCATCATGAATCTGAGATCCACCGTGTATGTACTAGGGAACTGTTTGGCAAAACAACAGATCCAAATTCACGAAAATGAGGTTTTGGTAGGAATAGCCTGTTTTGCCCTTAGGTTGTAACATGAGACATGTGGCTCACGTCTTATGACTATATTTATTTAAAAAAGGTATATTTTTAAAACACAAATGCAATATGACACACCAAATAGATAATTAATTAACTCATGTCAACAATATTTCGATTGTCCATACATAAAAATAACTAAAGATTAACTAAATATTACGATTGTTTACGACAACTTCTCAACATTAGATAGTCTTCCATTACATGCTAGTTGTTCCAAGCTAGAGCAAGAGCCGTGGCTAAGCCAGTCATGAAATACATCCATAGTGGCGGCATTGGCTTCCGAAGTAGAATCATCCGATGTAACTGCATATCGGTTATACATTTCTGGTATTATTGGGACAAAATGAGGATCATGATCGAAACGAGCAAAGTCCGGATCTTCACTACCATGTTCACGAATAAAATTCTAAAGGACCATACAAGCAACAACAACCATTTTTTGCTTCTACATCGGGTAGTTTGGCATCTTGTATAGAATTTGCCACTTCATTTTCAAAACTCCAAAAGACCTCTCAATAACATTTCAAATAGAAGAGTGAATTCGATTGTCTGTGACAGGAGTGACCCCCTGAACATCATCTCCATTTTCAAAAGAGTTGTTGTCACCATCAACAGTGTGGTGCTCAGTGGGGTGCTCAGCCTCTACACCATCAGTTGGAGTGTCATCATCAAGGGGTATGATGGGGTTGGAACTCATAGGATTCCAATGATCTTGCTCCTCATTAACAATGTTTCCAAACATCACCTTCAAGTCGTCTTCATTTTGGATAGGCTTCTTCTTGAACTTGCCAACACCACTAATTTCCTAAAACATATGAGAACATCCAAAATAAGAAAAATTTCTAAGTTGCAAAAATAAAAATGTACATATCATAACAAATAAAACTGACCTTTGTTATCTTCTTCCATCACTCGGGATCCATGTTGATAGTTCCTGTTTGCTTCCTCATTAATTTCCTCCAAGCACCATAATCCCTTCTCAAGACAAATTTATACCTCATCTTCTTTTGCCCTCTTGTTGGTTGACGGAGCGCACGTCCTCGGTTGCTGCTGCGACGAACTACCGCCTGCTTGACTAGTGGTCGCACCCCAGCGCCCATGGCTGCCTGCTAGCCAGCCGATAAGGGCTGCTGGCCGGTCGGTAGGGGCTGCTGGCCGGCCAGGAAGGCTTGTTGGGCAGCCAAGGCATGCTGGTGGGCGCCGTCCATGGCGGTTTGGAGGCCGCCCGCGCCTGCCTGAGCGCCGGCCATGGCGGGGTCGACGCCGGCCGCGGCTCCCTGCCAGCTGACTGGGGCGGGTTGAAGGCCGGCCGAAGGGGGCATGTCCGCGACGCTGGGAGGAGGAGCTCCGGTGGCCGCGCCCTGTAGCTGACGAGAAAGCCCAACCCTAGGTGCGGTCTTTCCCATGGATGTGGACGAAGAAGGAGGTGCAGGAGGTCGAGCAGGACCGGATCTACCGAATCCGGCCATGGAGGGCTCGCCGGAGTGGAGGGAGGGGATGGGCGGCGCGGCCTCCCTGGCCGCGCCGGAAGAGGAGGTCGGCGCGAGGCGCGAGTCGAAGGGGCGTCGTAACCCGTGAGGTGGGGAAGAAAGGAAAGAATCGAACTGGTAAAGGTAAGGGGTGGGTAATTTTTATCCAACTTCACAAGGAGGTACGAAACACCCATTCGTGGAGCACCCCCTGAGGAGCTTCACCAATTTGGTGAATCTGGTCTCTAGATCCACCGTTTTGGTGGATTTGAATTTGATGGATCTAGAGTGTATGGAAAAATTTTGGCGGACTGAAGCTGAAAATAGTGAATGAGCTGGTGAATCCTGTCAGGCCCTTACGACGAGGCGCTTCACGGCTTCGCGGCGACACTCTCCGCCTCCGAGCTCCGCACCCTCCGCAGCACGCCTGGCTTCGTCTCAGCCTACCCGGACCACCGAGCGACGACGCTTCACGACACCACGCACTCCATGGAGTTCCTTAATCTCAACTCCGCCAGCGGGCTGTGGCCAGCATCCAAGTTCGGCGAGGGTGTCATCATCGGCATGATCGACAGCGGTGTGTGGCCCGAGAGCGCGAGCTTCGACGACGCCGGCATGCCCCCGGTTCCGTCCCGGTGGCGCGGCGCGTGCGAGCCGGGCGTCGACTTCACGCCCTCCATGTGCAACCGGAAGCTCATCGGAGCGCGCTACTTCAACAAGGGCCTGGTCGCCGCGAACCCTGGCGTAAAGATCTCCATGAACTCGACGCGCGACACAGACGGGCACGGCACGCACACGTCGTCGACCGCAGGGGGCAGCCCCGTGCGGTGCGCGTCCTACTTCGGGTACGGGAACGGCACGGCGCGCGGCGTTGCCCCGCGCGCGCACGTCGCCATGTACAAGGTCATCTGGCCCGAAGCCGAGGGGCGGTACGCGTCCGACGTGCTGGCGGGCATGGACGCGGCCATCGCGGACGGCGTCGACGTCATCTCCATCTCGAGCGGCTTCGACGACGTGCCGCTGTACGAGGACCCCGTAGCGATCGCCGCGTTCGCGGCCATCGAGCGCGGTATCCTTGTCTCGGCCTCGGCTGGAAACGAAGGCCCACGGCTCGGCAGACTGCACAACGGCATCCCGTGGCTCCTTACCGTCGCCGCCGGCACGGTGGACCGGCAGATGTTCGCCGGCACGTTGTACTACGACGACATGCGAGGGACCATCCGCGGCATCACTACGTACCCAGTGAACGCGTGGGTCGTGGACACGAGGCTGGTCTACAACGACATCGTATCGGCGTGCGACTCAAAAGCAGCGTTGGCCAATTCAACGACCACTATTGTCGTGTGCCACACGGGGAATCTGACTGAACAGCTGAACGTCGTCGTCGAGGCAGGAGTCTCCGGGGCCGTCTTCATCTCAGCCTACGGAGCATATTTCGAAGATTCCATGCCCCTCCCCGCCGTTATTATAAGCCCGGAAGATGCACCGAGGCTGCTGAGCTACATCAACTCCAGCACGGTGCCAACGGGCGCCATGAAGTTCCAGCAGACGATCCTCGGCACACGGCCGGCGCCGATGGTCACCTTCTACTCTTCGCGGGGGCCGTCGCCGAGCTACGCCGGCGTGCTCAAGCCTGACATCCTATCGCCAGGGGACAAAATCCTTGCGTCCGTGACGCCCGCAATTCCAACCGCGATGATAGGCCAAACATGGCTGGCCAGCGACTTCCTGGTTGCGTCCGGGACGTCGATGGCTTGCCCGCACGCCAGCGGCGTTGCGGCCCTGCTGCGTGCGGCGCACCTGAACTGGAGCCCGGCCATGATCAAGTCGGCGATGATGACCACGGCGACCACCGCCGACAACACGAAAAATCCGATCACGGCCGACGTCATTGATAACATCACCGTCGCGAGCCCGCTGGCCATGGGTTCAGGCCAAGTCGACCCCAACGCTGCGATGGACCCTGGACTGGTGTACGACGCCGGGCCGGGCGACTTCGTCGCGCTCCTCTGCGCCGCGAACTACACGAAGGCCCAGATCATGGCGATCACGAGGTCGTCGTCGGCGTACAACTGCTCCTCCGCGTCCAGCGACGTGAACTACCCGTCCTTCGTGGCGATCTTCGATTTCAACGCCACTTCCGGCAGCGTGCAGTTCAAGAGGACGGTAACCAACGTCGGCGCGGGCGCTGCAGTGTACCACGCGTCTTGGGTATCGCCGAGCAACGCCAACGTGTCCGTCTCCCCGGGGACGTTGGAGTTCAGTGCGGTGGGGCAGACGGCGACGTTCGAGGTGGGAATCAAGCTCACTGCACCTAGCGGCGGCGAGCCTACTTTCGGGGACATAGCTTGGACCGACGCTAGCGGTAAGTACAGGGTGAGGACTCCCTACGTCGTGCTTTCTGGTCTCCCGTATCCGTCGTAGTCTTTTTTTCGCCTTCATATAAGAACCGTGGCGTATGTGTTCGTAATATAAAAGAACTCAAAAGTCGAAGCTGTTCAGGCTGATAAGCTGGCTCCGGCTGTTTTGTTGTGACATGACTGATAAGCGATAACTTTAAGCGAACAGGGCACACCCCTCTGCACCTGTTGCTGGCGTTGTTGATGGCCCCTCGGCAGTTGTACGAGGAACTCTTGAGCAAAATGAGACATGCCGATATACGGGACTGAATGTGTTTGCTGCTGTTGTCCTTTGGGAATCAATGGCCATCCGCTCTGGGGTTCTACACTGACAGGATACCATAACGCACTCGAGGAAGGAAGCAGGTATGCAGCCTGAAACGACGTCCCAGGTCACTTGTTTAGACAGATCCGCAGATAAAATATCCCCACGAATCCTGCAGCGTTCCAAACAGATTATGAACACATGCGTCTGTCAACTTGAAATTCCAAACTGCCAGACCAACGATCGGAAGACCGTGGATTGGGTCAAAATTCTTACTCCTTCACTACGACGTAATTGGAATATTACTCCAAGAGCCCCTGCAAAATCCACCGATTGGTACGAGCTATACCTAATCTGACCTCTCAAGTAATCTATACATGTTTCAACTGTACAAAACTGTACACCACAAGTTTACAACAAGATGCTCTCAAAGCTGTGCGGATCATGAACTGCTGATGCCGTTCTTTGAGGTGACATAACCGCTCCCCCGTTGCACATTCTGGGGTTCTGATTGCCCCGAAGCTTTTGCCGGGAGTGTCTTCGGGCTGCTTTCAGCTCCCTCATATGGCAACACGACCACAGGGGCAGCATGTATTGATTCCCACCGTTCCTTCAAGAAGTTCATGAAGGCTCTCACCATTTCCCTCCTGAATTCTAGCTCCCTTGTGAAGAGATCAAATGTAAAGAATGCAAGAACATATTTGAAAGGAAACACAAGAAGGACGGCTGAGGATGCTAGAAGAACAAGCGCAACCTGTGTTGTCACCTGTCATATGACCAAACAAATACTTAGGGAGATATATCAAGGTTAATGGTATCCATTAACTGACAGCTTCTCATTAATGTAAGCACCAACACAATCATTTTATCTTACCTCAGGTTGGCCAGCTAGTAAGATCGTGCGGATTTTCAGCAGGGAGACATTCAGGTTCTGGAGAGAATTTTCCACTGAGGCCATTGCCTCTTTAAGGGCTAGGATCTTCTGAATTGTGTTTGAAGGTGGTTGATCCCTAATTGTCACTTTGCCAAAAGATCTACCTAACCGGCCTTGTTCTTTCAGCCCTTTCACAGCAAGCATGGAAAGGGCCATCATCATCAAGGTGAAAGGAAATACATAAGAAAGCATGCTCCTGTAAGTTAAAGCATAGATAGATGTAAAAAGAACGATCCCATTCTAGTACAATCTTAAAAGGCCTGACAGTATAGTTGTGTGTGTGTGGTGGTGGTGGGTGGGTGGGTGGGGGGGGTGCAGACATAGAATATGCGAAAATATGATTCACTCGGAACATTTTAAACTAACGAAAACTCATCTCCACATATCTACTATAAGAACATTAAGAAAGACATAAAAAGGATTTCAATGCATTCTAGGACATTATTAGAATGACTAGCAAAGCTAGTGCATGCTTGTCCTAAATTAATATTTGAAAGAGACACAATGGATCAAATATTCGACTTATCAGAATGACCAAGGAAAAAATAACTCATAGCAAAGTAACATACCTGAAAATAACAGTATGAACCAATAATAGAAAACAAAAGGTTGAACGTGGGTTCTCCCAGCGTTGCAGTTTCTTGAAATTTTCAGCCACTATTGCAAAAGGAAGCATAAGTTCCTGATTTGAGAAAAAAAAAGGACAAATGTTAAAAAATTGTTAAGCATAAGTTCCTGATACAGCAACACGGCAAAGATGTTAGATATGTCAAGGGAACCTTTTTAAAAATATACATATGGTTTTTATACTCCATGCATCTAAGGTGAAAGCCAAATATACCTTGAAGAGGTCAATGTTGCTTGGAATACCTTCGATTGTAGCAGCAACTATTGTTGCTTGTGTCCTTTCAACTACTTTGCTCCTCTCTTTACAGTCAACCATTGCCTTTTCTACAAGATTTTTATCAGCTACAACTAAAGATTTACTCAATATTACACCATGCTTGACAGAAGAATTTCTCCAAAAATTGGCTGAGTGGCTAGATGCCCAGCTGGGGGATGTCATCCACTTGCGTAAGTACACACTGCCATCTATGTCGTAAACATGTGCATGGCCGCTAGATGGGTCCTCTGAAGATCTATGCCATTGAGTTGATCTCTGATCTGCAGATCTGGCTTTTGTAGTCAAAGGCCCACCCCAAAAATTCACTGCTAGAGTCTGAAGAACAACATCACCAAATGGTGCATTGGACAGGTAAGAGAACTGCACTAGCTTAGCTGGATCTTCATATAATCTCCGTATGAACTGCAGAGACTGAAGCCTTGCAATACTGTTTGCTGCACTGCTAACAGCTCTTTTCTTCCCTTTGTAGGCACCATACACATTGTGAATTGCTGGGTCATCACCACCCGGACCATATTCACGAATGAATCTATAAACTGAAATAATTTCACTGATGAAGGCGAGCCACACATCTCGTCTCATCTCCCCACTGAAATCAACAAACTCCAATGTCCATTCATCTGACCTGCTAGTAGTAAACTAGTTACCTTCAGAGTTGAGATCATACTAAACACATGATATCATTACAACACACTGCAAAAGTTGCAGTAAATGATTAAGGTGATTGCCACTTTTGAATTCATGGGATTGCTCAAATGAATACGTGATAAGATAAATATATTTTCCTGTGCAGATACTGTTTATGACTTACAAGTACCAAAAACTAGGCCAGTCAAATAGTTAATATGATGCAAATTTAATGTCTCTATGCATGTAGCAGCGATCACTAGGCACAGGCTGGGGCCCTGATTAGACCATCAAACTACATGTGCATGGAAAATTGGCATTCCAGTAGTAGTGAATGATCAATGGGTTACTTACACTAAACCAGAAGAAACTGAGACAGCAGAGTCAAATAGTTTGGATCCAAATGGTCCAACTTTCGTCTTTTCAACCCTTGAATTCTGATTTGTAAGGTCAAGCCTCATTGGTTCCTTGGTACCTGACAGTCCAATGGCCTGCCAGTATCAATAGAAATATAAAGAAGTTGAGGTTGAGTCCTCTCATGCTCACAAATTCTCAAATTGCATTTTGCCAAGCAGGGAACAGGTAGAAAACTATGTGATCAAAGAAATGCTAGTACGGCGCATCAGTCCAAACATGTAGACATTTCAGGCCCAAAGACCTACCTCAAAATACAGCGCCTTGTCTGTCAAGGTAAGGCTTCCTGGCCATGCAGTATTTTCCTCCCATTTTAGAACAGGTCTTTTTTTACTAGAGCCTATGCATAAGACTTTCTCATCATACAAAAAATTATCTCCCATTTGATGTGTCAGCCTGCCATGATGAACCCTATTCGAATGCACTCGGTTATTAATGAAACGAACTCCAATATTCACTTATTCAGCACAAAAAGTTCAACATGAATATAGATAAGAGATTAACTCATATTGCAATCATGTCAGGTGGCAGAGCTGTAAAAAAGCTTGTACCATAATCTTATCTTGCGAAACATTAAAGAAGCATAATATGCTGATGTGAAGAAATAAATTGCATGATTAAGAGCCTACCTAAAATGAAATAAACCTCCTATCATGATATATAAAAGCTCGAATTTTCATATTAATATGTTGAGGTAAACTTACTTCAAAAGTTCAGCGAGATATGTTGTCCACAGATCAAATGAAAGTCCCTTTTCTGCACCAACAAGAGCCCTAAAGAGATAATGAGCTGTCGAAACATCAGCAACACCTGCAACAGCAGGAGCAATTCGGACAAAGGCATCTTCTCCAACAAGCCTTCCCTAACATTTTAGAATATCTAACTCAGAATCCATTTTTTGCAACTCCAGTAAAGAGAGAACATAGAGGAATAAGTCATCACCAATACAGAATAGCTGTCTAGCAAAGAAAGTGGACCGTCGTCTTCGTTATATGGATCTTCCCAAGCAAGCATAGTAACGAAGATAAGCTTTTGAAAGGCAAGCTCCTGTAGACAATTCAAAACAGCAAGAAGCGTGATCACTATACAGTTAACGTAGAAGCACATATACAAAAGTTAAGTGTAACTAGACTAGTAGAGTTCAAACTCAGCAGAGAAAACATGGAGCATGATTATAATCTGTCACAGCCAAGCCTAAAGTGACTTTATTCGCAAACTCATTAGTGGAAACATGGAGCATGATTACTGAACCAGCAACCAATTTTACCTTCAAGTTTGGATGGAAGTCAGAATTATCTCTTGCCAAGTACCGGAAGCAGCTATACTCAACCAGGCTTCGAGCGTCATTGTGCAGATGCTTCGGAGCAAGTGTTTCAAATATCCTCTGCACCTGTCTCCCGGTCAACCCATTCAACCTACCAGAAAATCATATGCATGAATGGATCAAACCAAGGGAAAGACACTTTAGCTGTGGACTATTCAAAAGACCTAACTTGCACATATGATCCCTTAAACATGCTGAGTTGCTTGGCTCATGTTAGTTTTGAACTCTAGCCTACACCAACCTGCTTGGGACTAAGACTCTGCTGTGTTGTTGTTTGTTATTGTTTGCTCTCTTAAACATGCCGAGTTAATCAATTACTCAATACCCAAATGGCGCTGCTGTCATGTGGGGCCGCCCCTATGCAAGGAAACGGCGCGCCCGAGACATACGCCGCGCCGTCAAGCGCGCTGCTGGGGCCACGCCATCGCCCTCTGGGCATGCAGAGCAGGTTGAGCCATCTAGTGGCTAGGATAGAAAGAGTATCAAATCAGTTCCTTAGATTAAGGAACAATTAGCTCCTGGTTTGTTAGCCTCTAAGGCCTATTTAGTCTGGTACGGTGGAATGGAATAAAGGAAGCAAGATATTATCATCTAATCTCTCTTCCTCTCTTCTTCCAAACAGACTAGGCGCAGAGGGGTAAAACCTCGCCTTAGTCACGGATCGCGACTACGAACTACGTAGTCGGGGTCCCGTTACCCTTAACGCCGACGCTCTTGACAGCTGCAAATGCAAAATGAAATTGGATAAAATTATAGGAGCACCAACTGGAAACAACGTGACCCAGTTTCATCTATATAAAGTATCTCTAGAACGAAAAGTGCTAACAAGCAGAGCTACCTAATACTGCTAATTCTTGTTCGCTAGACACCAAGACAGGACCGCTGACAGTCTACCGATTGATTTAACACCAAAGTAGCCCGCTGCTACGGGTCATACCACATTGACTTCAAGGACCCAGCAATTTGAAACCCACAGAAAACTACACTAAATAGATAATTAACCCCAGTCTGATAGGGCTAGCTCTAGTCATTTTCCAATGAACCTCGCTAATTCGGCAGTAGAATCAGTCAATCAGCATAGAAGACACACCAATGTATAGATTCGCAAGCACATACTGCTTGACCCTACCTGGCGAACTGCTCGATGGAGACGACGGCGTCCAGCGAGAGCCAACCCTGAGCCACCCGCGGCTCCACGGTGACTTCCGGCACCGCAACGAACGCCTGCTCCTCCACGACCACCTCCTTCCGCTGCTTCTTCTTCCCACCCTCAGGCTCCTCCTTGTGCCTCCCCCTCTCCCGCGCCGCGTGCGCCGCGTCGGCGACCGCGCCCCGCGCCAGGGACATCCACGACCGCACCCGCTCCCGCACCGCATCTGCGAGGAACAGGAACCACGCGGTGGCCGCGGGGATCAGCGAGGGAAAACAGAAACATCCGGCCCGGCACCTCAGGGTGGGGTCTGGGCTGGGGCTGGGCTCGAGGACTAGCTAACGGGGAGGGTGTTCACCTGTGTCGACGTCGGGGATCTTCCACTGGGAGTTGAAAGCGATGACCGGGCCGGCGCGACGCCGGCGGCCGGTGACGCGCCGGCGCGGGATGGGCAGGAACCGAGGGGGCTGAAGCTGCAGCATGGCGCTCGATCGAGTGCGGTTAGTGGTGGGGAGCAGCGTGTCGTGAACCTTCCCTCGATTTCATTGGGCGGTCCGTGGTTGTTTGTTTATGTTTCGCTTCGGTTTCGCTACAGTTCGGGAAGAGGGGAGAGAGGCAGAGAGACGATGAGAAGAGAGGAGGACGAACCATGTGGCAACTGATTTGGGTTTAAGGACCGTGTGGGCCCCATCCACGAGATGGGAAATGGCCCGTTTTTTCTGTAGCGACCGTCGAGGCCTGGTGGCGTGCGTTATCCAGGCCCGTTTGATAAGGATCGTGGCCTCTTGGAGTCATGGAGCAGCAGCTTCTGAAGCTTCCCCTAAAAAAAAAAAGCTTCTGAAGCTGATGCTATTTTGACAGAAAATCCCTCCGTGTATATCAAAATGGACTCGTTTGCATGTATATGTATCCATCTCAATTCACATGTGTTGAGTGGAATGGAATAGAATTTAGTTCAATTTCACAACAATCCACTTCAACACACATGAATTAAGATAAATAGGTGCCTATCTATCCTGAAGAGGGGGACGAACGTCATCGCCTTGCGAGACGACGGTTCGAGCGCATGCTCCCACGTGGAATCGCCGGCGGAAGCGGTGTTGCACGGGCTCGTCATCCTCATGACACGCACCAGACCGGATCCAGCTGCGACCAGGGGCGGATCTACAGGGTATGCCAGGTATGCACCGGCATACCCTGCAGTCCAGCAACTATAGAGTACGTATATATGCGTAGATTTGAGAAAAAACGTACATGGAAGATGATCAGCGGCTGTGTGGCGTCTGGATGGTTTCCGCTCACCACTCGCGACGGCCATTCCACTTTCCACTTCCAGGCCCACGGCTAACGCGGCCCGCGGCCACAGCCCACATGGCCTGACTCCAGCGCCTTGGCCACACAAGAGAACTTGGGAGTTGGAGTCCATGGCTCGGATGTCGCCGCGCATAATTCGGAGTGACGTGTGATGGATCGACGGAGTCTCAGCCCGTCGACGACTCTAGTCGGCGAAGCCGCATATGCACCCGCCGCCTAGCGTGGCTACGAGCAAAGGAGAGTCGTGACTAATTATGATCGGGATCTATCAGATCAAGGAGTCAAAGGATCTGCTAGGTTGCTCCGATGCTAACCTGATTGCCGGCCACAGAGGTGAGCCTCTACTCTTTTCTTTTCTTCTTTTCACATTGAGGGGATATTTCTTTAAGTTGATAATAAAAATAATATAATCAAGATACTCATGTATCTTAGAAAGTATCACCTAAAAAAGCTAGATAAGTAGTATTATAAGTCGCTTGCACTCTTTTATTTATGTCTAAACTTTGAATTGTCAGGCATTCGAATTTAAAACTTACTAGAAGAACGCCCCACGTGTTGTTGTGGGAATCGCTCGTGAAATTATACTAATATGATTGAATAAATATCATAATACATATTAGTAGATGATTTTTAGCATTTTGATGTGGACAACTAAATATATGTTAGTAAATGATGTGGTTTGCTAATGTGAATAGCTTGAATGGAGACATAATGGCATGTGTTAATTGGATGTGTCAGTGGATGCTGATGTGGACAAAGATAGTTAAATGTGCTAGTGGGATGTTCTAGTGGATGCTGAGATGGTGCATGGCAAGATAAATTGTTAGTGGGTTTATCTTTATAAGAGATATAGATTCTGTAACTACGTGCGTGTATATTAAATTATGTTATAATTCTATAATTATTATCGAATTCATAAATGTTTTTATCAAATTGTATATAAAATTTTTTTAGCAGCGTACCTAAGTTAAATTTGTAGATCCGCCACTGGCTGCGACACGCCCGAGATGGAGTGCGCGCGCCCATGGTGCATGCGCCCCGGCAGCAGCCTCTCCTTCGACAATCACTACTTGGTCAACCTCAAGGCGCACCAGGGCATGTTCACGGTTCACCTCGACGCCAAGCCGCAGGACTCCATGAAGCGCATGGCCGATTGACGTGCTCACCGGCACCAACGGATGGACAAATCAGGAAGAAATGCAACGCCGTCGATCGGGCATGCATCATCACGTACGGGTCCCATCCGTACGGTAGAGCTCAGATTCTGACTCTCGTATGATTCCGTGGCTGAAAGTAAACTCTTAAAATCATATCACAACAATATCAATAAAGCCTTTAAGTTTTAAACAAGTCGAGATAGATAAATAAACTCTCAAAATCACAATTAAAAATTAATTCATAGAATCAGAAGAATTTTTTTTCACAGCCTCTTAGTTCATTTCAGAGATTTTAAGAAATCCGCAGATAATCACTTCTATGTGCAGGGAAATTTTCCTACTCTCACATTTTTATTGTGAAATTGAAATGATTCCTGTTCTCACGTTTTTCTGTGAAATTACTGTGCGATTTATGTGAAAATCATGCGTTCCAAACTGATATAAGTGAAAATCATGCGTTCTAGAGCTTCTGATGAATTGAACAGAGAATGAGTTTTGGGAGCTTTACCAAATAAGACCTACATCCCCTGTGCTCTGATGAGAATAAAATATAATATATATATATATATATATATAGAGAGAGAGAGAGAGAGAGAGTACATATGAGAAGGGTGGGCCTGGTGCAAGAGGTAAAGTCTTACCGTCTGTGACCGGAAGGTCCCGGGTTCAAGAAACAGGCGAGGATAAGGCTTGCCACTAACACCTTTCCTAGACCCCGCACAGAGCAGGAGCTTTCTGCACTTGCACTAAGTACACCCTTTATATAGTACATATGAATGACGCCGTTGCATCGGTGATACTTATGACATAGCTTGGGCAATCTGTGCAACAATACTATTTCCCATCCTAGCTGATCGATCAGGGAGAGATCAATTGTACGACTGTTGTATGATCTAGACAATTATCAAAGGCTAATACTACTAACAAAGTTGTGTATAAAGATAGCATATTGTTTATACAACTATATCTAAATTTCATTATTTTTTTATTATCCAAATTTCATTATTGAAGTATATATCCCTTTCATCTTAACCAGAAATTTCTAACAGCAACCGTAACAAGTTCATTTCATTCAACTTCTCCAGCAACAAGTTCATTTCATTCTACTTCTCTAGCAATCCAAACTCCGCCACCCACGACATGAACAAACTTTGGAATACAGGAATTTTTTTCCTATTTTCGTGTTTTTCTTGCGAAATTGCTTCTCCAACAATCCAAACTCCACCACCCACAACATGAACACACTTTGGTACGCAGGGAAATTTTCCTACTCTCACATTTTTATTGTGAAATTGAAATGATTCCTGTTCTCACGTTTTTCTGTGAAATTACTGTGCGATTTATGTGAAAATCATGCGTTCCAAACCGATATATGTGAAAATCATGCGTTCCGGGCCAAGCCTTCCAACGGACACACCACATACGAACCCAAGTTGGAGAAGAAAGAATAAGTACCAAGATGTTGACCACAACAGAGATTATCCAACTTCGAGGAGAAAGAATAAAAGATATTGACCAAAAGTTAGAGAAAGAACAACTAACAAGACATTGACCACAACAGAGACTGTTATGTGCCTGTACTTTTTTTTAAAGAAAGTTATGTGCCTGAACTAAGCGTTATTTTCAGAACAAGGCACAGATCATGACAGTTTTGATCAGGTGCCAGTCATTCAGTACCGCCTTTGTTCCCTATCTCATAACCAGACTTGCAGTGCAGCGCAAGATTCAAGAATCGTCCCCAAAATGGCAGATTTCATGCTATTACAAAGGTAATTGCATAAGAATTGAACAATACTTATACACCTGAGACATCCATAAGTTACACATGATGTGACAAGTAAATAATTATGCATCGTCGTGTCATGCTTTCAGAGGCAAGATTATCCCTGACTTGCAAAGGACTCGATCAGAAACTGGTACCCCTCGGGCACCCTGCTCTGAGTTTTTACACATGCAGCTATAGTAGCCATGTCTGCCTTTACATCTAGGAAACTAGCAAGCTTAAGAAGCAAATGGAAGTCCGAGATCCTCCTCACAAATGTTAAATGCTTCATCCGCTCCAGGTGAGTTCTCAGCGCACTCATGCTGACAGGACTTCCACGGTTCTCTATAGGAAAGCCTACTGAGAGTGGACCCTGCAATCACCAAGCAAACCATGGTTATAACTTAGAACATTTTGATAGGTAAAACAGAATACTGTAATCAGCTAACACGAGAGGACAGTGAACCATTTCCTCGCTTCCTTGTGTCAAATTATGAAATATGGTCACACCCCAACATAGAACAGTCACCAAAGCTGAAGATGTTTTAAATGTGCAAATCTAGTGCATCATCAATCTAATTACACATATTAAAGGACATATGCAAGAACTATATTGTGAAAGAGTTGGATGTATAACTCTTAATCAAGAATACTATGCCACTTTTTATACCAAATAAAAACATCAATCAACCGCGATGATGCAGATCAAAATAAATGAATAACACTACTACCATGCAACTGTACCACGCTTACGGTTATTCAATTTCAGTGCACTAACTTTGTGGAACAAGGACCAATCAGGAGGCAATTTCTGCTTGATTTTAAGCTCCATGAAAAATGCATGTTCGTTATGGAAGCAAATATGCTTACTACAGCTTCAATACCTAATCTATTTGACTCAGTTTAACATAATTTTTACATCTGCAGCTTACAATGCCAAATATGCGAGGATTGTCATGTCAAATAACTAATCATGACCTGCTCGATTGGAATATACAGCAATTAGCAAATAATAAACAACAACAGCAAAGATTATTAGCAAATAATGTTGCCAGTTTAAATGTAGCATCAGTGTAATAGTTGAAGGCTTTAGGTTTAATAAAAAGTACGAAAATCATATCCAGTCACCCACGTTTACCAAGTTTGGATGATTTTACTAACCCAAAGTTAATACAGTTTATCATGGTTATAATGAACGGCTTTTAGACTATGCTATGTTAAAAATATATATCTAAGATTATTCTAGAAATAATCTCAGAAAATGAAAAACTACAGAGGAGCAAGCAAACATCGCTCTTATGCCCTATTGCAACCTATGGATGGCCTTTTTCCATTTCTTTGCACCTAAAGTGGGAGAATCATGCAAAGGATAGAAAGTTGCGATTGTAGAGCCTTAGATACCATAAGATGAAGATTCTGAGAATTCTTTCAAAGGTGGATCCATAGAATATTTATTTGAGGAAAAGTAACTTTAGAGCCTTCAATGTGAGATCCCTTAAGATGAAGATTCTGATATAATTCTTTTAAAGGTGGATTCACAGAATATTTGTGTGTGTGTGTGTGGTGGTGGTGGTGTGGGGGGTCCAAAAGGTATAGTGGATATATATTACCAATTTTCCTTTTTTTTCTACAAGTTTGTTGCAAATATTCTGGGTCCTGCCAGCCCCATTAATCTCAACAGAAGGATGGTACATTGGTACTAAAGAAGTACATGCCCAGAACAATTATCTTGTGATAATTAACTGACAAGATCCTGCACGGCTCTACCATCCCCCTCAAAACACTGCCATTTTTTCAATAAAAGCACCAAAAAAACCAACGAACTATTACATTCTTGTGACCTATATTATATCTCATATAACTTTTATGCAGACCACTCTCCATACTATGTTCCTTGTAGAAGGGTTTTTAGTTTTTACACTCATTCAGGCCCTAGGGCCAAGCATATGTGCTCATATTAAATGCCAGAGCTCCTTCTTTTGGTTCAAAAAAGTGACTACACTATTAATGGAACTGTAAATTTTTATAACCAAACCAACTCTATTTGTGGATTATAGTATTATACAGACTGTAACCACATCTTCGAGTAAAAAAATGCCAATGAAGTTCATACATCCCACGTCTAGATATAATTCTAAGACTCATCCACAACATAACCACAATAAAAAAAATCTGTTTAACTACTGTGGACTAGGTTGTGCCACTTCAAATATCACACACAGAGAAGCATTCTTTCATCCAACAAGGTAAACATGTCAAGTTACTGAAGCAGGGGTGGACCTACACAGAAGCCAATGAAGGTACAGGGTACAGTCCCACTCATAAAATTTGAAACTAATGTAATCAACAATTTTCACCATGCTCCCTTGAGGTGTGCTCCCTCTCAATTTTTTCCATAGGCCCATCCCTGTGTTCGAAGGGGAAAATCCTATGGTTTTAAGTCAAAAGTATGTGTGTCCAAAGGGGACAATCCTACAGTTTCAGGTCACATATATAGTGTGTCAATTTACTACTCTTCTCTAATCTCTAAGGAAAAAAAGTTTGTGATCAACTTGTAATTCATAGTCCACTGATAAGAATGGTTATTGTGATTTACTGCTCCCTAGTACAAATTCATATATCCTTGAACCTAAAAGATTAAAGTTTTAAACCCAGATTGCCTTGTATCACGGCCATGCTGGCTGTAAATGAAAGGGTAGGGTACTGGGAAATTTAATGAAAAAAACTAACTCATTAACCAACTGCAAGTGAAGCGGCTACCCTTCCTGTTAATGGAGAAAAAACTAATTTTGCCATTGATCGGTAAATTTAGATGTAAACCATGCTGTAGAGTTGATTATTTTCAGTAAATTGTAGTTCCATGGCTAAATTTAATATATAGTTCAAGCACATATCAACTTGGTTCACTCAAAAAGATCAGTATTGTCAATGAATTGAACATCACATCGGCTCAAGCTATACATGTATAAAGCACGTATATCCACTTGGTTCCCTTCAAAGGTTCTGAAATGCCAATAACATTGCAGAGAAATGATCTACAATTATACTCAGGTATTACAACCTAGTGTTTTACGGTATCAACCTAGTGTTTTAGGTTTCTGAGCACCACGTCCTTTATATATTCAGTCCTTATTCATCAAGTTATATTCAATCCTCTATTCATATGAACTATAATTTCCAAACTACAGGAGCAGGAGTGAGTAAAGGAGCATACCTGGTGATCAGAGATCTTGACGGGCACGAGGAAGAAGTCATTATCCACCTCCATAGTATCCTTCCCCCCAGCCACCACCTCCTTCCGCATATTTGACAGACGGGGATCATCAGCATCCTGAACCTCAGTTTCCAGTACCCCATCCTTGAAGAGCTTGACACAAATCTCGCTCATCTGGAAGGCCTCGAAGTGCACATCCCCAGTGCCGTCACCCCCCACCTCCAATTTGACTATGGCGGTGACCCACTCCGGGATCCCGCCCTCAGCCTGCAGCTGGGCCGCCTGCACAACCTCCCGGTTGGACATGGTGTACTCGCCAGTCTCGCTGGCCTTCCTCCCGACGGCCTGCGTGAACACGAGGCCGACCCGGCGCATCCCGAGCCCCTCGGCGATGGTATCGACGCGAGCCTCCTCTTCGGGATCCCTCATGAGGTGGACCACGTCCTCGGAGCCCTGCTGCGGCGGCTCATAGATGAAGTCGACGAAGACCTCCTTGGTCTCTGCGTCGACGCGGCCGTAGAGGAAGCCCGCCCGCTTGACGGCGAACGCGAGGGACTCGGCGACGTAGAGCTGGAACGCGTTGGCGGCATCGCGGTCAAAGGAGGCGGCAGCGCAGAGCGCGTTCTCCTGGCGTGTGATGCGGATCTGGCGCGCGATGAGGTCGTCCATGGTCATCTTCTTGCCGAAGGAGCCGGCGGCGGAAAGCGCCTTGGGCGGCGTCGGGCGGGCGGAGCGCGCGTCGGGCGGGTATGCGAGGTAGACGAAGGCGCCGTTGGCGAGGCGGAGCGAGGCAAGCGGCGTCGCCGGGTTGGCGAGGAGTGGAACAGCGGCGGAAGGATTAGGGAGCAGGAGGGCCGGGTCGAGGGAGAGGCGCTGGAGCGGGACGGGCACGGTGAGATGCGACTCGATGAGGCGCTGCAGGTCGGCGACGGTGGCGGAGGCAGAGTCTGGGACCGTGATGCGGTCCGTGCCGTCGCGGCTGCGGATGCGGAGGATCATCGCGGCGGCGGTGGTGGCGGCTCGAGCTTAGCTTCTGCCGGTGGGTTTTGCCGGGATTCGGGGGTGTGCTGGTGAGATTTATAGGTAGAGTCGGGGTGGGGCACAGAATCTGTGTTCGAGGAAGAAACGGAGCAGGGTGTGCAGGAAGGCGGAAGCCGAGACGGTTAGGGTTTGAGGAAAGTGTTGGTGTCAAAGGGAGAGGGAATATGATGCGCCGTCCTCACCGTCGAATCCGGGCTGGGGCCCGGGCCGGGGCCGGGGCCGGAGCCGGAGAAGAGAAGAGCGGAGGAGTCAAGGAGATGCGGCGCGGGAGAGTCGAGCACAGCGCGCCGCGGCGAGGACGGGAACGGAGCGGGTAGGCTGGAAGGGAAGGGGTAGCGGTGTTATACACGGCTGCAATCCTCACGGTGATCTGTCGCCACGTAAATCAGCTAATAATACTTTTAGTAGCTTATCAGCTAAATAAATAGGACATATACCTCCGTCGAGTGTGGAAGTCAAATATTTCTACAAGAGCAGCTCGGAGAGATTTGTTCCAGAGATTTTGATGAAAAAAAACATCCAACGATCTTTTTAATTAGTTATCAAATATAATCATCTTTTATTTTGGATTTCTCGTAAGCCAAAGATAAAAAATAGAATTGGCTCTCTACAGTGCACAGAAGATATAGAATAACTGTTTGAGAGTAGAAAGATATAGAAAATGATTTTTATGTAAATGCTCTCCAAATAATGATATAGAGAATGAGTTTTAAAAAGACTCTCAAAGATGCTCTAACTAACTAGTAAATATAAAATATATATATCAATATTTATAATAGTATTAGATAAATCGTTGAATATATTTTAATAATAATCTTATCAAAAAATATAAATGTTACTATTTTTTATAAATCTAGATAAAAATAACTGTTATGGATCTCATAACAATACTTTCTTTCGGACAGATAGAGTACTCATATTATGGACCGGTCCACCCAACCGTCCAACAACACTACTGGTTTTTTAATGTTCGTTTGGCGAGGGTTCTTGAAAGGAGCAGAAAAAAAATCAAAAATTGGTTTGTGCATTTGTATACACGAGCTCGAGTCGGAAAAAGTAGCTTATCATAAATCTAATATAATTATTATAAAACTACATGTCGGGTTCATAAACTCGGGGTCCCTCGGGGACCGGCTTCCACGCCAAGACTTGGCCCAAGCGGGCAGCGCACAACTCATGGGCCGGCCCAAGGATCTAAAACAACAGGCCAAAAGAGCGGTCCAGTCACCGACCGGAAGGTCTGGCCGAAGGGGAACAACGTCCGCTCGTCGACTTCTTCGGCCCACCTCTCCGACCAAAGCGCTCGCTTCGGACTCCAACCGCCTCCGGACGGCCTCTCCGATCGGAAGGCTGGCCCAAATCGCTACTTCCAACTCCAATCCCGCGTCTCCGACCGGGGTTCGCAGAAACCCTGCTCACCACTCTTCTCCGACTGACGCGACCAGACCGGACTGGGGCCATCCGACCAGGAATGCCCGCTCGGAAGGAAACATGTGACGAATGGAAAAAGCAAGCCAGGGCGCACAGAGTCAAACCACGATATCAGGGACCATACCCTGTACAGTACTCTGCAACCACCCTGACACGAATAGTATTGTAGGCGCCGACATTTCCTTCTACAGTATTGTAGGCGCCGTTAACTCCCGTACGGTAAGGCCCCCCACATGCCTCTGGGCATCGATAGTGTTGTGGGCGCCGGGATTTACCGTACCAGGTGAACGTGGTGAAACTCCTCGCGTGCCTCTTGGCATCAACAGTGTTTTGCAGGTACCGACATCTGCTATTTTCGAAGAAGGCAATGCAACCTCCCACATGCATCTGACACTCTACAGCGACGATGACCAACAGTGTTGTAGCAACCTACCATTATCTTGTACCTGCCGGCATGGGCGATAGAGCCCAGTAGCATACGTACCCTCATCCTCTCACTTGTAAAGCCATCCCTTTCATCTATAAAAGGGGATGTGCTCCCTCCAACAAAGAAGAGCTTCTTTAGTCCTTTTGAGTAAACCAACATCGATCGAGTTCATCAGCTCACAACCACAGAACCGTCGGGTTCGTACCCCAAGCACACGCTTGAACACTTAGCTCATAGCGTAGCTCCTGTCGCTCTTGGCCCTTCCGACCGGAGCCGACCGGACCTCTTGTGCACCCCATCTTTCTCCTTCTCATTTGTAACCCCACTGCAAACTTTGAGCATCTGGGCTCAGGAATAAAGTCACTGACCGACCCAAACTAGACGTAGGGCACATTGCCTGAACCAGTATAAACCATGTATCATTGAGTGCTAGGCCATCTCCAATCACAATGTACGGTAAAACTACAAATATTTAGTAGTTGGTCACATTCTGCACCGACAGTTGGCGCCATCCGTGAGGAGGACGTTGTATGTTCAACACTTTTTGGTCGTCGGATGGCCCACTTTTCCGCCACCCACGTCGTGGCGGGCTCGGGCGATACTATTCGCTTCGGCTCACTGGAGTTTCCCGCGCTCTCACTAGCTGGGATGCGGGTCCCGACCATCTTCGAGCCATCCCAGGCCTTCCTCTCTGGGAGCCTGGACTTCATCGCCGACCGGCTTGGCGAACTGCACCTCTGCAAGGAGGCTCACGTCTCGGCACCCGTCGTGACTCCGGGATGTACGACTTCAACGACGCGGCATCTGCGCTTCTTTCCGAGCAAACTCTCTACTCAAACCCCACTGTAAGTAATATGTGTACTGTTATTTATTCTTCATTTACTATCCCCCACCGATCACCCGGAGGGACTGTATCGCCCATGCCACAAACACCGTACGATCGATTCCCCTACGGCCTCGCGTCCTCCGCGGATATGTACCCTCGGGGGCTCCGAAGGATGCTGGCGCCATCTCCCCTCGCAACCAAATCTGTGGGAACGGCAGGCTACGCTCCTACCGTTTTCCACGAACTCCCGGATGACGAGGACGAGAGCGACAGTTCCATCATCGGCGATGTGGCACCCCACCACTGTCCGTCCCGAGAGTGCACTATGGCGGACGCTCTGGGACAGCCACCGGTGGTTGTGGAGTCTGCGCAGACTCACACCCCTCCGGACCTGCGCGCGGGGGCCCTCGCGTCTGCGTGAGCGCACGCCGAGGAATTACGACAACGGCGGCAGAACCAACCGCCGCCTGTGCCGGCGCATTCGGTGCAGCACGTTGCGCCGCATGCACATCACCCGCCGGGTGGCGCCCGGGGCCACGCCCGCTAGGTCCAACACAACATCGTGAATGAGGGGAATGATGCCCCACAGTTCGCTCGGGCCAGCCAGAACATTGCCGCTGCGGCGATGCTTCTGCGCGGCGTTCCCGAGCCTGTCGACCCCCGGGAGCGGAGGTCTACCGGAACCTCCGGGTTCTGGTAGAAGCCACCACCGTTCAACAGGCGGAAAGCTCCGCATCGTGACTCCAACACGCGCCCTCCCTCCCCATCGGGGAACGGGGACGCGCCAGACGGATCGCTCCATTCACTCGCCGCTACAGCCGCCAGGTGCGGCCCAAGGGCGGCGGCGGCGCATCACGATCCGACCTAGCGCCTGTCCCACACCGACCACCGATGCACGAATGGACTGGTTCGCACCAGGACGCTCACAGCATCGTCAGCAACCGGCATCAGGTCTGGCACGATGATGAGGCCCGCCGAGCGGCGGTAGGAGCAGGCAACACAGGTCCCGGCCGGACCATCGAGGGGAGCGGCGAAACATGCCCCAGGCACGGTCGCCGACCGGACGACCGGAGTCCCAGCCCTGAGGGCTCGGGACCATGGGCCTTCGGTCGACGTATCCAAAGAGCACCGTTCCCACAGTGTTTCCGACCACCCACCAACATCACCAAATACTCCGGGGAGACAAACCCAGGCATTTGGCTCGAAGAATTTTGGCTCACTGCGGGCCGGAGGAGTGGATGATGACTATTTCATCATTCAGTATCTTCCCATTTGCGTGGGGGAGCATGTTCGGGCATGGCTTGAATTCCTTCCGCACAATAGCATCCGCAATTGTGCAGACCTCAAGAGGGTCTTCGTCGAAAATTTCCAGGGGACGTATGTCCGCCCTGGAAACTCCTGGGATCTCTAGAGCTGCCAGCAGGAGCCCAGCGACTCCCTACGGGATTACATCCGTAGGTTCTCCCAACGATGCAACTCCCTCCCTGATGTCGTCGACGTAGACGTCATCAGCGTGTTCCTCTCCGGGACGAACTGTGAGTCCCTGATCCACAAACTTGGCTGCCTAAAGCCCCGTACCACCCGTGACCTGGTCAACATAGCTACTAACCACGCCTCTGGCGAGGAGGCGGTCAGAGCGGTCTTCAGCGGAGGCTGGGACAAAGTCAAGGCCAAGCGTGCGGACCAAGACGAGGGCCCCTCCACATAGAGGGGCAAGAAGAATAAAAAGGATCGGCACCGATCGGACAACACCACGATGGTCGCCGCGGCTGAACGCACGGGCAAGCAGCCCCAACAGGGGCTGCCTGACCACTTCAACAAGCTCATGGATAGTCCGTGCACCAACCATGCCTACTCCATTAAGCACCTCTTCAAGGACTACGAGCTCCTCAAACGTTTCCTCCGATAGGCCGGCAGGCCAAAGGAGGGAGACGGCAAAGAGGCGGCGGCCAAGAAAGGAGGCACGGCAGGCAAGGATGGAGACGGCTTCCTCGAACTTGAGGAGTGCATCATGATCTTCGGCGGGTCCGACGCCATCTGGACGAAACGCCAGCACAAGGTGCGCTACAGGGAGGCATGAGGCGCCGAGACGGCCGTCCCCTCCTTCCTCAGTTGGGCGGAATCTCCAATCACCTTCGATTAGAGGGACCATCCCTCCCACGTCGCAAGGCCAGGACGCTACCTGCTCGTCATCGACCCCATCGTCCGCAAGAAGCGCCTCACCAAAGTGCTGATGGACGGAGGCAGCGGCCTCAACATCCTATATGTCAACAC